GATTATATTCGGCCGTTAAAAAATGGTGACGTTTGGTAATAACTGAAATCCGCCATTTTGTATTTGTCAAAGTATACATTAATACATTAATACGGATCATCCATTTACAGTCATTCAAAGCTGACTTTTTCATGGTCACCAAGGTTTTACGTTTAGAAACGTAGGACGTAAAACTCCCGTTCCAATTTGTGTCTTGAGAAGGAATCTGGGCAAATTATCGACACCGATTTTATTCAATGAAAGGTGTGTCTATTTTCTATTCGTCGGATATTTCCGTCTATTTCCGTCATATTCCGCAATAAACCAATAAACACAAGAGACTGCATCCGGTTGAGAATTTGCGAAAGCCAAATGTCGAAAATGGCTAGGAAAAACTTTAAATCAGGTATTCAAACCTACTTTATATATCGTAGAGAGAAATGCATTTATTTTCATCAATATTTAGCTTATATTTGTGCTTTTGGATTACCGGCGAAATCTGTAACTCGCTGACACAAATTTTATAGAGAAACTTCTACTAAGAAACTCCAAAATTGACATATCAATTTCTTAGAAAACTGTCACAAGTGACACAAGATATATTTATAAAAAAAAATTCAAATTGCATTTGATATGGTTTTCCTTTTTTGTAAACTATTTAACTATCTAATAGTTCAGCTCAAATCGACAGATGCAGGTACCTACTATTGCACTATATATCGATGAAATCAAAACATTGTAAGGGCCGAGGATATTCGCCACCCGGGTGGTAAACAATTATTCGCCACCCTCATTTTTTATTTGCCACCCGTTTTTAAAACTTTAATTTCTCTAGAGACTGACATTATTAGCTGTGAAGGCTATAGCGTTACATGCATTATAATGTTTTTTTATGTTCATTAGAAACGCTTTTTTGCAATTCCTTTCAGAAAAATGTACGAAATAATTGATAATCACTGTCCCATTGGATGGCTATTTATAGTTAACCGGTGTAAAGTCAATTTGGCCACCACTTTTTTGAATCACTTCTATGAAATTTAGTCTCGATATTCATGTCACCTACAAACTTCACGTGGCTCTGCATTTGTTTTTTTTTTTAAGCCCAGAAGCGTTTTTTCTTGACATTTCCCGGCAAATTTAAGGATTTTTTATATAGTGTGTGGGAGATCCCACCCTTTGAAGATTTTCAGAATCGGATTCCCAAAAACGCGAATTCCTGACATTCCCTATTAGTTTAAGAAAGCTGAAACAAAAGCTGAGGGTGGTAAAAAAGACCTTAGGGTGGTTAACAAGAATTGTCGGTGGTACACAAGAATTGTGAGTGGTAAACAAATATTGGGGTGGTATACAAGATTTGAGGGTGGTGAACAAGAGCTGGAAGTGGTAAACAAGAACTGCGGGTGGTGAACAGGAACGGAGGGTGGTAAACTAGACCTACGAGTGGTAAACAAAGACCGAGGGTGGTAAACAAGAGCTGAAGGCAGTAAAGTTTTTTGGATAGTAAACGGGAGCTGGGTTAATCAATAACATCTAGGGTGGTTAACAGCAACAAGAGCATCGACTGGTGAACAAGAGCTTAAGGTGGTTAACAAAAGTTGAGGTTGGCAAACAAGAATTGCGAGTGGTAAACAAGTATTGGGGGTGGTAAACAAGAGCTAAGGGTGGTGAACAAGAGCTGATAGTGGTAAACAAGATCTGCAGGTGGTAAACAGGAACGAGGGTGGTGAACAAGAGCTGAGGGTGGTAAACAAATGTAGGTTGGTAAACAAGAATTGTGACTGTTAAACTAGACCTACGGGTGGTAAACAACAGCTAGGGTGGTAAAAATAACCCAGGGTGGTGAACAATAGCTGAGGATGGTAAACAACAACTAAGTAGGTGAACAAGAGCTTAGGGTGGCAAACAAGAGCTTAGGGTGGTGAACAACAGCTATGTTAATGAAACAAGAGCTGAGTGTGGTCAACAAGAATTGTGAGTGGTAAACAAGTATTAAGGCAGTAAACAAGTATTAAGGGTGGTAAAAAACAGCTAGGTTAATGAAACAAGAGCTGAGAGTGGTAAACAATCAATTACTCAGGGTGGTAAACAACAGCTAGGTTAATGAACAACAACTAGGTTGGTAACAAAGAGTTGGGGTGGTAAACAAGAACTGTGGGTGATATACAAGAACTGATGGTGTTGAACGATAGCTAAGGTGGTAAACAAGAGCTGAGGGTGTTAGGGAGGTAAACATCAACTAGGTAGGTGAACAAGAGCTGTGGGTGGTGAACAGGAGCTGAGGGTGGTGAACAACAGCTAGGATGGTGAACAAGAGTTGAGGGTGGTAAACAACAACTAGGTAGGTGAGCAAGAGCTTAAGGTGGTTAACAATTGTAGGTGTTACACAAGTATTGTAGTAGCACCCAAGACCTGGGTGTGTTGAACAAGAGTTTAGGGTGGCAAAAATAATTGTGGGTGGTAAACTAGAGTTGAGGGAGGCTAACAAGAACCGAGGGTAGGTGAACAAGAGCTGAATGCAGTAAACAAGATTTGGGGTGGTAAACAGGAGCTGGGTTAATGAACAACAACTAGGGTGGTAACCAAGAGCTGAGAGTGGTAAACAAGTATTGTGAGTGGTAAACAAGTATTGAGGGTGGTGAACAACAGCTGGGGTGGGAAACAACAGCTATGTTAATGAAACACAACTAGGGTGTTAACAAAGAGTTGTGGGTGGTAAACAAGAACTAAAGGTGGTATACAAGAACTGATGGCGGTGAACAACAGCTAGAGTGGTGAACAAGAGCTGAGGGTGGTAACCAAGAACACAGGGTTATTATCACCCGTACACATTACTTACCACCCGTCAGTATGGTTTATTACCGCACGCCTTATTATCACCCGTACACATTACATACCACCCGTCAGTATTGTGTATTATCGTACGCCTTATTACCATCCTTACACATTACTGACCACCCGTCAGTATGGTTTATTATCGTACGCCTTATTACCATCCGTCAGTATTGTGTATTATCGTACGCCTTATTATCACCCGTACACATTACTTACCACCCGTCAGTATTGTGTATTATCGTACGCCTTATTATCACCCGTACACATTACATACCACCCGTCAGTATTGTGTATTATCGTACGCCTTATTACCATCCTTACACATTACTGACCACCCGTCAGTATGGTTTATTATCGTACGCCTTATTACCATCCGTCAGTATTGTGTATTATCGTACGCCTTATTATCACCCGTACACATTACTTACCACCCGTCAGTATTGTGTATTATCGTACGCCTTATTACCACCCTTACGCATTACTTACCACCCGTCAGTATGGTTTATTATAGTACGCCTTATTATCACCTGTACACATTACTTACCACCCGTCAGTATTGTGTATTATCGTACGCCTTATTACCACCTGCTATGTCTTATTTTTTTACTATTTACACATCTTCATCAACCTCGACAGTTGGAAATCGAAAATAAGAGTAGGCTAATGTCGCTGTCCCGACAAAATTTCCCTCATTGCACACTGCATGGCATTTGCCCATCCTCAGTAGCCCATACAGGTGCAGAAAAGTAGGACGTAAAATTTTTTTTTATTTCTTTTTTTTTCTACGGATTTCTTATACAAACGTATGATACTAAATTTCATAGCAACACTAACAGGGCCTTTTGGGATGTATGCTAATTTGGTGTAAACAAAATGGCGGAATTTCTACTTTCGTTTCATTGCAAGAAATTCAATTTATATTAACACGGTCTTGTCTGAACCTGACAAAATCCATTAGAAATTACTCAGTCGACTAATATGTCACTGAAAGAAACAATTATATCAAAAAGGCTGAAATTTCATGAATTTTTAGAGATTTTTCTGCCACCCGGATGGCAAAATAGTCAAATTAATGGACGTGGACTATTCGCCACCCGGGTGGCGAATATCCACGGCCCATTGTAAGAACTGAACTGAAGTGTAGCCTACTCTCCGACCATAGTATAATTTTTCTTTCAGTTTACGAATAGTTCTTGATCTAGAGCTATTTAAAATAGAATTTCCTATGCTATTGCATGATTTTTGTGTTAGAATGCATCAGGGTTTATAGAAGTTGAAGATCTGATGATATGAAAAAAGAAGCTTCACTCCAATGGAACTTAAAATTCTCTTCTCTAAAATCACATTTGAAAATGATAAATTTTTCATTGGTGCTCATTTCATGCACCCTTTGAAAATCTAAGACTTGTGATTCTTTACACTGTGAGTGTAGGCCTGTGTTATCAATTATAAATATTGTGGACAGTCAATAACTGAAGCAACTAACCTAGTACCGGTACCGGTACTAGTACCATAATGTGAAACATGAAGCATTGGAATTGCATCTATGACTACCAGTATTTTAATTGGCATTTTTTCTACAAAATTATATGCACCAGAATCCATTTATTGAAACTTTTGCTTCAAACTGACCAAAGTTTTATATTGAAGTATTGAACTGTCCGAATTCTTAGCCCATTTCAATTAATTCTTATTTCCCATCAGTGCTTTTTCATTTTCGCAAACTAAAGTGCATGCAGAGAAAAATTAAAAGGCAATCTATCGGATCAAGGCAGAAGGATAAAAAGAACCGGATGAAAGCCAGAACTGACCTTGATTTTCCTACTTTCTCATTTTTGATTTGATTTGATTTGATTTGATTTAAAAGGCAATCTATCGGATCAAGACAGGAGGATAAAAAGAACCTCATGAAAGCCAGAACTGACCTTGATTTTTTTTTTAGTAGAGACCACACCAATGTTAAGGGGGCATTAGCAGGCAATTCTTTCCACCTGAAAATGATAAGAGATTTGATAGTGGTGGTCAAAGCTGGACCAACTTAGTTCTGGCCCCACCCTCATGTAGAAACACCATGATTTTAACACCCTTGCGTCTTACTATTACGATTGTTTTTTTTTTTTCAGACCATAGTTCTACTATTCATTTTGATTCTAGAACCAATACTGTCATGGCACAATCTTCAACCAGCCATAACCATGTCAAACAAAAGGTAGGAATCTTTAAAGTGATTGTAAACAGGATTTTTATTTATCTGTGGCTGTTGCAATTCCACCAAAAGTAAGCTTTTTTTTTATCGTTAAAACTGCCATTGACATAAGGACCTTTGTGATAGTGACGTCAGGAAGTTAAGTGGATCTGCAAGAGATCCAAATTTTTAGTAAAGTGTCACTTTCTATCTATTCTTTTATGGCAAGTAATAAACATTTTGGTACGAAAACAATAAAATTAAATAGGATGGGCTAGTTGGTTAAAGCGATAAAATCTTTACATCACATCATTTGCTGGGTTACATTTAACAAATGTGTGAAAGTATGGTGACCTTGAAAAAGCCAGCATTGAATGACTGTAAATGGATGATCCGAGAAAGAAAAGGACCAGCTGGTAGTAAGAATCTTTGTTGACCTTGTTGATTTTCTTTCCAAAATAATAAGATTTTAATACGGTATTATAGGTGAATGCAGTTAGAGAAGTTGTACCAGGGAAATCATTTGATGAAATAGTTTTAGTTTTGCAGTATTATGATTATAATTCAGAGAAAGCTATTCAAGCATACTTAGAAGGTAATGAAGTTTGATTATATATTTAGTTTTTTAGGTTTTTTTTTATTTAGCTGCATCTGCCAGCTGAAATTTTGATATTTTTGCAGTCATCTTGGCACCTTACCAAAATTGACCCAAATTTGGTCAAAATGGTCCCTTAAAAAAGATCAAAATGACCCCTGGACTTTGGTCAATATGGACATTTGAAATAGTCAAAATGGTACCAGAATAATATTTTATTTCATTGAACAATTTTAACGAAAATAACTTTAAACCAATTTTTTGCAGTTTGGATCATTAGTACTTAGTTTATTTATTCAATATTCATCTTAGTTCATTTACTTAGTATAATATACGATATATGATAATATGATACAGTGATAAACTTATATTACTGGTATATAGTTATTGTTATGATTATATTAATGATAATTATAATGAAACACTGCTTTGTCCAGAGAAGATCACACAATTTTTAAAAAATAACGCATAGGAGCTATCTGATTTGATTTCCTGTATTGAAATGTGCTTATTTTGCATGATATAACAACAAGATAATGTTGGTTTGTAAATTTTATTGTTAGTAGTATTGCCTTTGTTCAGATAACATCACACACTTTAAACAAATAACTTTATAATTGAAACAGATGCTATTTAATCAGTGTAGTTTTTGAAAAACATTTAAAAATTTTTTTATTTTGATAAACAATATTTTTCATGTTAGATTAATAGGCCTCTGCAAGGGCTTGGTTACACAAAAAAATACAAAAACACCTAATATTAAGGTGGAATTGCAAGTATCACATAAGTATGACTGAAACAAGGAATAGTGCAGATCAATTTTATCAGTGTCCTTGATGCACATAAAAAGTTAATAATAGCTCTTCAACAATCCTGTGATTTTATATACATTTTTATGAAGGTTGTATTATCTATCTGTGACTTTGTTATAGTGGTTATGTTGCACTGGTAATTTTTTTCTCATGTAACTCTGCACCTTGAAAACCTTGTTTTTTTTCTGAAACAGATGGTGCTACAGAAGCTTTAACTCAGTGGCATTTCAGTGGCTCTAAGGTTAGTGTGTATTCCATGATATTCACATTCAAGTTTTAGAACTTCTTTACAATCCCTTTAATATCAGGTGCCTATGTAAATCACAATATAGAAATATAAAAACGGAACCTTAAAAAACATGTTGTTACTCAGAGTTTCACGATTGCGATCCTCAGATAAAAGACCTATTTTAGCCTACTGAATTTGGTCAAGTTTATAAGAATTTTGAAGAAGATCATAATTGTTATTTTTACATTATTTATGTGTTTAAAGGTGCAGAATAAAAGGAAAAAGTCTAAGAAAGGACGCGCAGAAGAAGGAGCAGATAACTCTTCTACCAATTCCTTACAAAATATCAGTAATAATAATAATGATGAGAAAATTCCAGTCATCAATGGGGACCATACAAACGGTATCTAGAGCTTTTTGGATTTTTCAGATTATATTCTGTAGGTGATTTTAGAATTAGAAACATTTGAAAGATTACAATATACAGCTCAACATTGTGACAGGATAGCATTAAGCTACGGTGGAGAAATTGATGGTTTATGATATTTTTTTGCTTGTTTTTCAGACATATCCAGTCAGGCATCCATACCTATATCTTCTGGTCTAGACCAGTCATATCCAGATAAATCCAGTTCTATGCACACATCATCCAATGAAAATCAGGTTGCAGACGCTAAACCACAACGTAATAAAAGCTCAAAACATAAACACTCAGGTAGGTTTTTGATTGTTTTTGTGAATGCTATAATAGAGTTATGAAGAGAAAGGGGTCTTCAGCAACTCAGTGAGTTAGATGCTTGCTAATGCTGCTGTTTTAATCTTAATTATTGTACACAGCATGATGTTGTTCGTCTACCATAGTACATGTAAAAACATTTTTTTGGGAGATGCAGTGATTTAAGCTGATTTTGCATACCCTAGTACTCTGACAGCAGATCCCTTTATAATTAAAAAAATATACTGTGTATAATATTTGTTTGTTTATGTCAAACAGAGAGTGATTGTGGGTTCTACTCTCAGTCTGCATGTGAAAGTCTGGTAACTGTGAATTAATCATATTTCGTCATTGTCTTAGTCAACTCAGTTATTAATGAATACAGATAATCCTGGAAAGACCTATAAAGGACTTGTGTTAAACTTAAAGTCCTTTTTTCCAGGTCACCACGCCCATCAGCCTGCCCCACCCCCACCTCCTAAAGAACATCATCATGGGCGTGTAAGAACAGTCAGTGAATGTAGTACAACTAGTCTTGGTTTGGGAGATAACTTTACTTACAAAAAAGCTGGTAAGTTTTAAGGATCTGGCTTACTTGAGGAACTCAAGGTCTTTATTCAAAAATGGATCAGAACACCCATAGAAAGAAAGTCATTATGACTGGCCTTGAATGTGCTGTTATCCCATACCCCATTCACATCACATCAGGGAATGGGTAGGGTCAGATTTGTTAACTTAGACAAAAGGTTTCCAAAAACTTACTGATATTACATAAACAAATTATATGTAAAATCAATGAATGAAACATTGTTAAAACCAAGATTGAAAGAATGGTGATTTTAAGAATAACTGTAATCTGATTGGATAATAAAACTAAATATAAAATTGAATTTAGCTATTGACCAATCCTATAACTAGAACACTAAAATCCTTTAAAGTTTTAAATAAAGAGCTTTTAAGTGAAAATTTATGGAATTCGAGGACTTGTTAAGAAATAACATTGATTGTTTTTTTTTGCTCCTAATTCATTACACTCACTTGAACATGTTTTGAATCTTCTCTAGGTTTAGAAAGATCAGTGAAAGATCTACAACGACAAACAATTTCATTAGAAAGATTACGTTTAACTTTTGATTCTGAGATGGAAAAAGGACCAAAGAAAATTAAATCTGTCTTTGAAGAAGTCAGAAAAGCGTAAGTATTTCTTAAAGGTATACTCTTAGGTATCTCTTAGGATGACGAAAAACATTAGAAGCATTTTTCAATAATAAGTTTAATGGATATATTATGTGTGTTATAGAGATTCAGATTTAGTCATGGCACTGGTAAGTCCAACTGATAAATATATACTCTTATTGACCAAGCTTGAGAGTTATAATTTTATGCCCATTCTAAGATATAGTAAGAATTTAAGAATTTGTTTATAAGTATAAGCTTATGAGATAGTTGTTGAGGGCCATATTTCTCAAGATGATAGCAATTGAAATCTGTAGGAAGAGTGAAATTTTTTATGACACAAAAGTTGATTTAAAGAGATTGTTTTATATTGTATTAGGCAACAATTGATGTATAGCTATATGAATAGAGTAAATGTACATTTTTTTTTTATTTCTCATATAGTTTATATGACAGAGAAATTCAGCTTATTATAGAATTTGAACAGATGAAAATGCAATGCAGTAAGTATTAAAGGGATTTTAAAGAGGTTTTTTGATGACACTGAAAGCATTCCAGATATCTGGGGTTCTTGCAATTCCACTTAAACTAAGCATTTTATGAGGTCATTTTCGCTCAGGTCCTTATGTATTGTTTCAGTCATTCATTCATTCAATAATTTTTTGACAGAAGATGTATTTGAAAGCAGACAACACCTAGCCAATGATTTAAAGAGACGGATAGCAAATGCTGATGCATTAAGTGAACATGACCTATCAGAATTACGAGCTGATGTCAAGGTTTGTATCTTTAAAGTGATTGCAAAGAGGCTTTACTATTCTTTTTATGTTGATTGGCAACACCAATTGCATTGATTTTCACCATTCCAATTTCAATCAGACTTTCTTGAGGTCTTGCAATTCCAGTAAGTGTTGTGCTGTAGCTTTTGAAAAACCTGTGCATATTATTATCAGCTTTGGGACAGTTATTATCAATATCCCCAATACACATAAAAAGTTTGGAAAAAAAAAATTTCAAAGTGATAATGTGTGCACATGTGTATATTTTCAACGCTATGATATTCGTAGCCTATTAGTTCTTGAAATGGCAGAAGATACATCTATTCTCATATAAATAGCCACAAAAATTTGATATGCCAATAAACGTGGGAAGTTTGTAGGCTTATTGGATATGATATTGAATTTCAGCATTTTGTTAGTGAGAGAAGATTAGATGAAGATCTAGCTAAAACTACCCGGTTTATGTATGCACCAGATCATATTCTAGAGGAAATTAAATCATTTGGTGAAAGTAAGTACCACATTTTTGTTACACTTTCTCATACTTTTAAAATTCCATTTTCTATTTCTTACACTAACTATCTTCATGAGGATTGTGCACTGAAAGCCATTTTGGGCAGCATTTCAATTTTCCTGGACCTTTAACATGCTCTGCCTCTAGCACAAATGAGCATATTTTTTTGTTTTTTTTTGCAGTCGTTCCTTTGAAACAACATTATACAGCCCGCAGACCTTCTACATCTTCGGTTGCAAGCAGTGGACCAAACCATGATCTTCATCCACCTCACACAACACAGCAACAACATCATCATAAACTACAACATCATAACACAACATCAACATCAGATACAAAATCATCAGCAGGTAAAATTCGTCTTTAACTTTATTTTTCATCTGATTGAATACGGTTTTATTTTTTTTGTTTTCTTTGGTAATTTCCACTTGGCATTCATGATCTAATGAAATTGATTTGCAACACATGGTTCTAGGTCATTTGAAATATTCAACCAATCATATTCTCTGCACCATAAAAGAATAAGCAACTACATGTTCAACTTTGATGTGTATTATCAGCTCATTGAATAAAATATTGTATGATTTTTCTGTGTATAGCAACTACAAATGGTATTGATAATAAAACTGATGATGGTAATGAATCAGATGAAGCTGAACTCACAGCTCAAGATTTAGAAGATTTACAGCAACGTTTACAAAACTCTCTACGTCTTAGTAAGGTAAGAGTGTATTTTGTTCAATATTCTCAAAAGTTCAATATTGATCGAACATAAATTATACCAATTTAAAGATAGTCATCTATATGTTTGCTATGCCAGTTGATTGTGATCAATTTCATCTACCTGTGACACTTTTCAGTTTGGTTTGTTTGTTTGGTAAAGGTAAAGACAGCAGTGACAACAGTCTAAATATAAAAAATCTCATCAACATTCTGTTCAATGAAAATGTGTTCAGTGCACAGAGAAAGAAAATACTTATTTTGTTTTTATAAATGCTAATTGATATTTCAGGGAGGACCTAGAAACCGTCCTAGAACAGCTAATTCTGACCAAGGTATTGTTAGTTTAATGTTATTTTTGTGTTTCTATGATTTTCTAAGCGATCCACTGACGTTCTACTGTCTAAATATTCATTAAGAAACTTGGAATCTCTGAATTCAGAAGGCAATAATCAGATTTGTCTGAATCTCTGTATATTCCAAATTATACAGTGTATTCATATTTGTATCTTCCTTTGAATATAGATAATTATTTGTTATTGCTAATAATGCATATACATTTAAAAACCACAATACAAATTGAATGGAATGGAAATTGCTTTTATATAGATGAAACCTATTTTTTTTTATTCTGCCCATATTCAGGTTACTGCATATACTCATATAACTGTACCAAGACTGAATGTGATGTTTTAATTTACTTTACCCATTTCAAACTTATGTTTTTTTTTATCTTAGACAATGCAAAGCGTCGACCACAAGAGAAAAATAGTGGAAAATCAGGTGAAACTAGAAATAGAAGTCCACAAAAATCAGATAAGAAATCCACAGAGAATGGTCCAAGAGGTCCAAAGAAGGAGAAAGATGGCCAGACCAATGGTCCGAGAAGTCCAAAGAAGGAGAGAGACGGCCAGGCCAATGGTCCAAGGAAAGAAGGAGAGAATCAAGAGAATGGACCAAGAAGGGAAGGCTCCGGAAGAGGAAGAGGGGGAAGGGGAAGAGGAAGGGGTGGTCGTGGCCGAGGAGGTGGAGCTAGATCACCCAATAACGATTCAACAGCCAATACTACTCCTGGTTCAAAAACGACTCAGGCTCCTCCTTCCACTAATGGGGATTCTGCTGCACAGTAAATACAGATAGGAAGCTAGATATGTGTTTGGGTAGTCTGAAACCTGCTGATCCTTTTTTTTTTCCGGATATTTCAGTGTAATCTTAACAAATTTTCTCCCACAGTCCTGTTCCAATGATTATTTTCAACCGATTAAAGTGTGTTTCTTAACAAGGATGAATTGTGGGAGAGCAAAACCCATAGTAGAGCAATATGTTAGTTATCAAGAGACAGGTTCTTCATGACATGCTTTGATTGGTTTAAATAATATCATTAGAACAGGAGCACAGTAAAACCTTGTTAGATTACAATGGAGATGAATAAAATAGCCCAAGACAAAAAAGAAAGAAAATTGCAATCTGATTTTTATTAGATTAATGTATTAGAGGCTAGGTAAGAGTTGTGGGCTAGGATTAGGGGACGTTGAAGGTCATTGTACTTTACATAGAGTATTCTTGGTTTTGGTAGGTAACTTGTTAACTTACATAATTGAATTCATATAAAAATGATATATGAAAGATAAATTTCACATATTAAAGAAGGTATTAATGAATAGTGCTATTTCTGCTGCAATATCATTTACATAAAATGTTGATATTTTTTTTTGATTTTTGGCCCATAAACTGCTTAAGTTCCATTATAAACTTACTGAAATGTGATGCCAATAACTTTAGATTTTTGAGAATAATTTTTTAACTTATTAAAATGGATTTGATAGCTAATAATTAATTGAATGTATGTAACACTTGAGTAAATTCTGTGTAATTGAATGGATTTAGGTAAAGTTTAGGTTCCTTCCAAAAATAAACTTGAAAATTCAAAAAAAATAAAGTGGACTACTCATGTTTAGGTTTTGAATAAGAGGCAGATGTACACAAATATCTTTGTCTGAAAAAAGTATGAGTTTGTTGGTTAGTGCCCATTTTGTTTCTTTGTTTTGTTTTAGTTGTGTATGCATGAACATTATTTTTTCAAAATGAATTGCTTGGCCTTATTCTATATCGTCTTAGTAGGCCTTGTCCAGTTTTACAGTGAGGGCAATTTCTTACTGATCCAAGCAGTTTGTGGAATCGTGCTTTAAAATTTTGGCTTGATGAAGTCTGAAAATTTCTAGTGTAAGAAGTGTGTGAAAATGTCAAATTAAGCCTTATCTTTAATTTTAATTATTCTAAATTTGGTACGTACTTAAAATGTATTGTTTTATTATGAGCCTTGAACAAATGTCCACTATAATAAATTATTTAATTGTTTTAACAGCTGATAGAGCTACGTTTCAGCTATCTGTATCACTTTTGAAAATTGAACTGGAAAGTTCTCCTGCAATTCCACAAAAATGTAACATGAAAGTTTGGACTATTGTCACTTCCATACATTATTAAGAAAGAAAGTAACATGTTTTAGAAAAATGAAAACTTAGATTCTCAAGGATCCTTTCTACCAGCTTGTCCTTATTGAAACCTCTTGGCATTGACTGTACTGAATTACTTGTGTCTGATTTTAATTTTGAAAAGTACTTCATATATCTGAAATTGAGCTCTAACAGCTGGTAAAAAATTATTAAGATGACTTAACTGCTTTAAAGAACAAAAGCTCAATTTACACAAACAAGAAAATCTATATTTTTCTATGAAAATTGTAAATATTCTATGAAATTCTATTTTCTCATTTGTTTGAAAGTGTAATTTTTACAACGATTGTATGCAAAGGTTTTTAATTCTGATTATAAAATTTATTTTGTGTTAAAAAACAATTGTGATATTTTGAATTAAGCTTTACAAAATGAAATGGCATGTTGTGTTAGGGGTGCTATATGTGACCATGTCATTTGGTGCAGTGACGAAAAAGAAAACACAAAAACAAATTTCTCAATGTCCTAGATGAATTTCCCTCATTGCACACTACTATATGGTGTAGCCAGCATTCATTAATACAATCATGACTCTTCAGAATGGATGTTTCTACTTAAAATAAACGGCTGTTTGGTTTTTAGGATCTACAGACACTAACAGCACTAGGACCATTTGTTTTGGACTTATTGTCGCATAGCACCTTTTAATCTCGTAAACTTTCTACAGTATGAAAAAAAAAAATTCAAGAAATGTACACACTTACGGTAGATGTACAAGCACTTTACAATTAAACTTATTTTGTTAGATAAAAAATTTTGCTATATTGTTTCATTAATTTTTTGGTTAACAAGATTTATATCATGAAGAATAAGTATATCTTCATGGAATATTTATCCTGAATGCTATTTCATATCATATCTCTTGATTTTGCTAGTTGCTGCATTATTCATGAAAAATGCAGTAATAAAAGCTGCTTACAGAATGATATAAATTCATTGAAAATTCTGTGTATGACATTGTAAGTAAGCACATGTCTATATTATATTGAATATATCATTGTATATTTTATTAGAATTGTACACAAATGGCCATTATATCATTAATTCTATATTGTATTTTGTTGAGTTTTTCTTTGTATTTTATGGAAATTATCCTTTGTGCCAATGACTAAATTGTAGATAAATTAAAAGTAAATTAAAGGGATTGTTTATGATATTACGAGTCAGTACATACACCATATTTCTATTTGTAGGAAAATGTATAAGTCGACTTATAGAAGCAGAGAAGTGTATTCACCAGATCACATTATATTAAATCGCCCGAAAATTTTTATGTCCAATCTCAAAGGGGCATTTTGAGAGTGTTCACGATTTGGCAAATAATATTATTTAAAAATATTGATTAGGCAAAAACAGGCAAAGAAGCCTTTTTACTTGAATGGGAACACAGCCTAACTTTTTAAGCAATTTTTAAATTTATTGTGGTCGACAAAAAACATACTATCGTATGCTTAACCTTTTATGTTCTCTTCACTTACGTTCTACTCTGCTATAAAATTGGTGACCCTACAAACTTCCGTTTTGGTTCAATTGATTCAATAGATAAAAAACTTAATCTCCAACCAAAAAAATTTAATGGTGTGAATATGTGGGATTGCCAATTAATATTTTTGAATTCAATACTTGATGAATGTTCAAATTACTTCATACAAAAAAAAGTAGCATCTATCTTGGGTAATTAATTGTTCTTTATGCAAATAGATGTACAAACTATTCTTATATATTCTATGAGTAAAACTTATTATTGTAGATGAGTCTAATGTTCTTTCTGAACATGGTCTGTAGTAGATTAAAAATGAAATCCATATTAACAATCCATTTATTCAATGTAGGCCAACTCTTTTATGCTTAATTCTTTTGTTAGTTTTGTGACACTAAGGTCTAATTTTTGTTGGTAATTTGTATATTTGCAGAATATTAATATAATTGGAATATGGGCTTTGAAAATATAATGATAATCTTAGAATGCTTTTTTGTTGATAAAAATATGAAAATATTGTTCCTTCATTAGCATTTTATCAACAGAAGACATTCTAAGATTATCAATACTATTTTGAAGATAATTTTCTAGTTTTTATAAAAATAATTGATAAGGTTTCTGACTTTCTAACTAAAGTAAATAGTAAGTAAGCTTTTGAATCAATTTATTATATAACTATCTCTCACATATCAAACAACGCCCATTATTCTAAATGGTAAAGTGCACCAATAAACGACAAGCTTGGATACCTAGTTGATGACTATTTACAGATATTTGTGCTCATCCAGGTCTTCACAGGATCCAAAAACAATAAGATAAAATTATCTTTACAATGCAATTAGTACACTATCTAAGATCTGGGGCCTTATTCTTGAAAACTAAAATCATTTAAAGTAGTTAAAGGAATAATTACCTCAAAGAATGAACAAAAATTTGAATTTTGAAACTGGACCAAAATCAATGCATATTCATCAGAGGACTTACCTGGTGACATAACTGTACAACAGAATCCTTCTATAAGCCATTAAATCCATAAAACTAAGTAACTCAAAATCAAAATTTGTTCTTCATTTTAAGAGGTAGGAGTCCTTTAAAGTAGATTTTGAATAATAAGGCTCTTGGTCTTGGTATTAGTTTTGCTGCCATCTTAGTGCCTTATCCAATAGAAAGCATACAGGAAATGTTTCATATATTAAATAGTATTGTAAGTACACACAAGATTAGGAAAGGTTTAAGTTTCCATAAAGAACAAAAGACCTTATGTTTTAAATTTGAAGAGTTAATAATATTTTTCTGTGTCTGTCTCATTTGTTTCTTTCTCTTACTATTCCGATTATCATAGAAATTTTTTCTTATTTTTATTGTTTATTGGAATCTTATTAAACAGAATTCTAAGGGATTGTATAAAGATTGTCTAAATTTTTGGGGGACACTGATAGCATCAATTTGCACCATTCTAATCTCTAGTCAGACATTTGAGGTTCCTGCAGTTTCACTAAAACTAATTGTTTGATGAAGGCCCTTTACCATTAGTCATTAGTTTTAGTGCTATCAGTGTCACCTATACACATAAAAAGTTAAGAAAACCTCTTTACAATCCCTTTAAGAATTCATGTCTCACTCAGTTTTGTTACTTTGCTGTTCTTAGCCTTTGATCTTTTTATGTTAAAGGGATAGAGTCATCTAAATTTGAACTTGACACCTCATAAGCTCTGAATTCAGCTACTCATCGTATCTCACTTTGTTTAAAGACAAATTTCTATCAAAATTAGTGTTATCTGCATGATTAAACAATTATTGTTATTTCAATTTAAAAAGAGATATGGGTTGAGGAATTGAGATTTTGCTCAATATTTTAGATGACTATATCCCATGATTTTGTGAAGTTACTGTTAATTTCTGACTTGTTTGATAAAATTCTGATATTATATTGTATTTAAAAAATTATTTCTTGTACATAGATATAACAAAAAACTGATTGGTGCAATCATTATATCATATCGTTTCAGTTTATAAAAATGTTGACATTTATTTTCAAATTAAACTTTCAGCACAAATTATTTTCTTTTATTATGTTGACTGTTGACTGAGATTTCACACACTTACTATACAATATGTAATTTACAATGGGCAGAATTTTGCCAGAAGAACGGAATTAGCCCAAACGTTTTGATTTTTAACTGTGGAGGGGTAGTAAATAATGAACATTCTGCAGCATCTTATCCTATGGGGATGTCTTGCATTTCTATATCAAGTAACCTAATTTCGTGGAAACCTATTTTTCGTGGATTTCCGGAAAGGATTAGTAATTACATGTGCGACCTCGCGTGACCTCCGCATTTGCTTGCTTCGATAAACATGGGTTTTCTGTATAATATCAGCTAGTAGAATGAATTCAGTAGTTTCAAGCAAGGTAAAATTATTAATGTGACAATTTGACAAATACAAAATGGCGGATTTCAGTTATTACCAAACATCACAATTTTTTATCAGCCGAATTTCCTTATAATCCCAAGCGGTAATCGGAATTCCAAGTGTCGTCTGCTAGAATGTAGTCCAACGAATGAAGTCACGCGATAAACTAGCGGATTCCGTGTCAGCAGAAAATTTCTATGGAACACAAAGTGGACCATATTCTTATGTTGTTTCAGTGACTTTTAGCAATAAATCACGCTACGTATCTTATTTTGTCAGTCACTATTTTATTTTAAAATCGTGGTTCTTTGAAGGAATTGTCACTAGTTATAATGAATTGATATTAAAGATAAATACTAAGAGAAGTTTATTATACCACCCGGTATCCATACAACGTGTTTTTCTAGACTTGTTTGTAGATCAAACATTGTACACGAAAATAGGTCACGCATTCTGCCGCCGTTGCTGAGTTGGTTGCTCATGAAATATGGGTCAAAGTGAAGAATACATAAAGAAAATCGAAATAAACCAATTTTGATTATTTTGTAGAATATCTGAGGAAACATCTAAGACATAAAAAAAAGAATTTCGTTTTTTTAACGTTGACGAAATTCGGTGTTGAATCCTTATATCCACGAAAATAGGTTACACCACTGTACTGGGCAAAGATTTAATTTATCATTGGAATCGTCCCTACGATTAATTGTCCCCTATTATGTCAGCCTGCACTCTATTTTTATCCTAATTTTCAACAGTCTGGCGACGTCAATGCAAGCGTCTAACTTGCTGAGCTACAAAGCACCGCGTCATTGTACATCAATACGAAAAGTATCTCTTGAGTACGATGTGGTTGTCAATTTGTTTCATGGTTACACTTTTGACTGTAACGTTTTGGATGGTAACTAAGATTGAGAATTCACGAGATATCCCGAGAGATGGAGAAAACATGGCGGACCGAAGTTCAACTCGTGAAATCACTCATTATTTAAATGTAGAAAATGCAAAAATAATTGCATTTTTAATGGTTGCAGGATTTGTTATGTATCACAGCATCATTCATCTAAAATATGGTACAAAATCATGTTGAGTTGATGCTTTATTATCTGTGAATCGCACCTCAATGCCAGAAATCACTTTCCACATCTGCCATTTTTTTTAAAGATATCTTCATTTTTCTGCGGTAAAGTCCGCTTTTATTCCAAATTACTTAGTGTTTACGTCATAATCCATGTTTTGGCGTTTTGCTCGTGGAAGTTGACTATTTTTCAAAACAAGAGAAAAGTGCTCTTTGGGGAGTACTGCTTGATTGATTTCCAATAAAAAGTACACCAGAATCATAAGTAAGCAGCCCTTAGACTAGTCCTAAAACGTCAAAAAAAGTAAAGCAGAAGTCTTTCACTAACAAAAAACAGCTTTGTTTACATTTGTTCCTGTTCTGTCATTGGAAGCCTTCTCTTTTTGATATACGTTAACAATTTTTTCTCCACATTGCCTAAAATTTATTAATATTGACAGAACTTCAAGGCTTGTGGTGGTTGTAGATATCAGATTTATGATTTTTCCCAGCTCTCCTTTCAAAAGTTTTAATAAAATACTGGAAATACCTATGCCTTACTATGATAATTCTAGATTAGGTCTAATACTCTTCTGCTGTTAGGAATCGATGGGCACAAACTGCGAGTAATGTCAACATGGTTAATTGTATTGAGCCTTATTCTCAAAAATTGTAATTTTCATTATTTTTTCATAATTTCCTCCTGTGGGAAATCACAATACATGCTTAATATCTATACATAAGCTTGTCTTACTGCCAGTGACTTTGATACCTAACCATTTGGCTAACACATGCAATGAAGGATGAAATGCATTTTTACTTTGAAAAAAAATAAATATGATATAAACTTACTTCTGTCTTCTAAGCAATGTTCTTGAGACCCTTTGTAACAAAATAAATAAATCAATCCTGTGTAGCAAATTTTAGTTTAAATAATATGATCAATGCAATGGTACTTTTCTATTATTTTTCTATCTTTTAATAGAATTCTCATATTTTAGGAAATGATTCCTGTAAATGGTTAATGAGTGATGGAAGATTTCCAGGATACCATACCTGGCAACCATATGGCTGCATGACTCATAAATATACTAAATCGTAAGTTTGGGTCTGAAATTATAATAAAGTAAGCTTAAGCAAGCATTCTTTACGAGGATAACAATTTAGGTTCACAAGGTACCTTTCTAACCAGCTGGTCCTTGATATTTCTCAATATAACATTTCTTATTTACATCTGAGAAATTGGAAAGTTATTTCCCTTTTCTAGAACTAGCTCAGTGAGAATTTTAGGTCCAAAACCTGTTGACAGATATGAGTCTTTCAATTGACAAGTTTTTATCTATGCTTATTATTTGTTTATTTTCAGCGATGCAAGAATGTGTATGCACTATTTATCCTACTGGGGTGGGAGAAATCACATAGTATTCCTGGGAGATTCTAGAATTCGTCAACTCTATTTCGATTTTGTTAATCTAATCAGTAATGAGGAGGTCAAAAGTTTTAAAGCTCATGAAGACATCCATTTTGAAGATAAAAAAATCAATGCTAGAGTGGTAAGTACTTGTATAAAGTGTAAAGATGAAGTGTTGCTTGAGGTGACTACAGGTTATGTTCGTATGACAGATACAAAGTCAAAAAAAATTGAACTTCATATGTAATGGATTCATATTCATAATCAAATGTTTATATGGTGAACAGACAGTCTCAATATAGCATTAAATGCATCTAGTAAATGTAAGAATTATTCCCCCAGAAGCTGTAAATCTAGGGACAAATCATTTTGAAATACATGTACGGTACCTGAAGTAAAGAGGTACGACACAAGAAGAAACAACCAAATCATTCTTTCATTACTGAGACAGATTCAGTTTCATGCAAATGCTGAAAGTTAGAAAAACTGTACTTGGAGTGATTGGCTGAAACATTCAATTTTCCTTCCATATGTTCCCTATGCTTATGTTCACAATATTCCCCATGATTATATTGACAATGTTTCTCATGTCTATATTGATGACATTTCCCCATGATTATAATAACAATATTATATATATGTAATATTATATATTGATGATGTTCCCCAGATCTATATAGATATATAGTATATGGTTTTAGATCATCATATAGTAATATTATTAACTAACTTCACCCAGTGTAATTTGATAGTATCTGGAAGGTATTAAAATATTACTATTGGTTTTGCTAGTTTGTACAAAATACTTTATTAAAATCACATGCATGAGGGCTGCCTTTATGCACTTTGCCCTCACATTATATTAACAATTAAATGATATATTATTTTAATTTCAGGATTTTCTATGGCATCCTATGGTCAATACCTCCATGTATTTGGTGTATAAAAATTGGTTATTGAGTGAACCCAGTGCAAGACCAAATTTAGTTTTAACGGGTAGTGCTACAGTATGTATCCATAATCTTTTGATAAGAACTAAGTTCTCCAATTATGGTTTAAATTCTTAGAACAATGTTACTTCAACAATTTTTATACGCCCACACGTAAGATGGGCGTATATTGTAATCACCCCATCGGTCCGTCGGTCTGTCCGTTCACATTTGGCTCGTGCTCACTCTACAGGCTACAATTTTTTACAGATTCTTTTGATTTTTATTTTGTGTGTCAATGTCATTATGAAGATTATCCCTATTGATTTTCGTGATGATCGGATAATTTTTCACCGAAATATCGTGTCTGACTTGACGTTTTTCTCTATTAGCTATATTGTGCAACTCGTGCTCACTCTACAGGCTACCATTTTTTTACAGATTCTTTTGATTTTTATTTTGTGTGTCAATGTCATTATGAAGATGATCCCTATTGATTTTCGTGATGATCGGATAATTTTTCACCGAAATATCGTGTCTGACTTGACGGTTTTCTCTATTAGCTATATTGTGCAACTCGTGCTCACTCTACAGGCTACAATTTTTTACAGATTCTTTTGATTTTTATTTTGTATGTCTATGTCGTTATGAAGATGATCCCTATTGATTTTCATGATGATCTATCGATTTTCATGATGATCGGATAATTTTTCACCGAAATATCGTGTCTGACCTGACGTTTTACTCTATTAGCTATATTGTGCAACTCGTGCTCACTCTACAGGCTACAATTCTTTACAGATTCTTTTGATTTTTATTTTGTATGTCAATGTCATTATGATCCCTATCGATTTTCGCGATGATCGGATAATATTTCACCGAAATATGGTGTCTCACTTGACGTTTCACTCTATTAGCTATATTGTGCAACCCTGTAGTCACTAAAGACTGTTTAATCATTTCTGACAGCTGCCAGTGGGCGTATGTTACCTTGCCTGGCAAGCTATCTTTTAGGAGTGTAATGTTGAATTCAAAATACCAAAATCGACAATTCACAAATTCTCTTGTGGATAATGTTATGAAAAATTTGTAATAATAGAAATATCAGAATTTAAAAATAAGAATTAGATATGGCCTCAATAGAAATGGAATAATTGATTATAAACTAAAATCATGTGTGCTGCAGACCGTGTAGGTTGAAATTTCTTTAACAGTTGGAAATTAAAAAGACAAGGTCAATGCAACTGTCCTGGCAATATGTCTCATCGCACATTGCATTGCATTACCAGTCCTCAAGCCCAATCAGAAGAGCAAAGTTTTCTTTTCTTTTTTATTTTATTATTCTTTTTTTCAATTTTAGTGGAGTATTAAGTTAAATAATGGAAGTAAAGAAGCTCTAAACAATTTTGAAGGTAAATTTTGATATATCACTCAAAAGGAAATCTCTCGAAGAGGGACTGTTAGAGAGGGTTCGAATATTTACTTGACATCATTTCTTATGTTGTAGGTTCTAATTTCAGTTTGTTTGTCAAAGTCTGATTCCTTTGAATAAATCGTCTTTCATCAGTTTTCAAGTTGCTGTATATGGGTATAAATACTCTGGGAAAGTTTGATGCTAAGAGATTTTGGTCAAGGACCAGCTGGTAACAGGTCCGATGAAAATCTGAGTAATTATGCTTCTAGAAAAGGTTTTGTTTTTAATTTTAACAAATCTTGTTTATATTTAATCATGATGAATTATATTTCAGTTAACCTAACTACCATTCAACCTTTGATTAAAAAACTCAAAGATTCTACTAAGGTTCTTTGGCTTTTACAAGGTAATTAAATATTTATATTTATCTCTATAGATAGAAGGTGCTTTTAATTAAATAAGAATAGAAAAGAAATAAGTTAATGCCACTGCCCCAATCAAAATGCTTTGCATGTACCCAGGTTGACCAGGGTTCAATTTAGAGAAGAAAGAATTTGATTAGCAATTTGTAACACCAAATTTCAATTTTGGCTAATTCTAGTTTGGGATTAATTTTGATTCTCCAACTGCAATGTGACACTGCTTAAATTAAACCCTGATGTTGAAAAATGAATGTTTCAAAATGTATTGCATGTCACACTGAATGTTTCTTATGATATCTGTTTTTTAGACCCTGTTGATGAGTTAAAATTAAATGTGAATAGATCAGCCATAACTAATGAACAAATAGATGATTATAATAAAGTATCTATTGATATTTTGTAAGTACATGAAAATTTCAATAATTTATCTTCATTGAAGTTCCTATTGATATTTTGTAAGAACATGTAATAATTAGAACAGGACTGTAACTTTTTAGATTACAATGGAGGCGAAAGATCTCAGAAAACAAAAAAGAAAAAAAGATTTTGATATGATTGCTTTGAGTTCTTCTTCTATATTTTATTCATTTACAAACTTAATTACAGAGAAAATAGTCCAGCTATGGTGTGGAGCTCATCCAGATTAGTAGCTCAGGGTATGAAGAAAGAGTCTCCAGATGGTCTTCATATATCACAATCAGCTTTAGAATTAGTAAGTTTTACTGTTATGCTGTAATTTCATGATCCGACATATTAGAATATTGTTGCACCATTACAATATGTACAGTCGAGTAACCTAATTTCGTAAAAAAAAAAATTTCGTTTTTTTAACTTTGACGAAATTCGGTGTTGAATTCTTATATCCACGAAAATAGGTTACACCACTGTACTGTAATAATGATATGACTCATTATGTTTACAGGATATCCAGATATTAATCAATGTGTACTATAATAATGATATAAATCATTATGTTTACAGGATAGCCAGATATTAATCAATGTGTACTGTAATGATATGAATCATTATGTTTACAGGATAGCCAGATATTAATCAATATGTACTGTAATAATGATATGAATCATTATGTTTACAAGATATCCAGATATTAATCAATATGTACTGTAATAATGATATGAATCATTATGTTTACAGGATAGCCAGATATTAATCAATATGTACTGTAATAATGATATGAATCATGTTTACAGGATAGCTAGATATTAATGAATATGTACTGTAATAATGATATGAATTATTATGTTTACAGGATATCCAGATATTAATCAATATGTTCTGTAATAATGTTATGAATCATTATGTTTACAGGATATCCAGATATTAATCAATGTGTACTATAATAATGATATGAATTATTATGTTTACAGGATAGCCAGATATTAATCAATATGTACTGTAATAATGATATGAATCGTTATGTTTACAGGATAGCCAGATATTAATCAATATGTACTATAATAATGATATGAATCATTATGTTTACAGGATATCCAGATATTAATCAATATGTACTGTAATAATGATATGAATCATTATGTTTACAGGATATCCAGATATTAATCAGTGTGTACTATAATAATGATATGAATCATTATGTTTACAGGATAGCCAGATATTAATCAATATGTACTGTAATAATGATATGAATCATTATGTTTACAGAATAGCCAGATATTAATCAATATGTACTGTAATAATGATATGAATCATTATGTTTACAGGATATCCAGATATTAATCAATATGTACTGTAATAATGATATGAATCATTATGTTTACAGGATATCCAGATATTAATCAATATGTACTGTAATAATGACATGAATCATTATGTTTACAGGATAGCCAGATATTAATCAATATGTACTGTAATAATGATATGAATCATTATGTTTACAGGATATCCAGATATTAATCAATATGTACTGTAATAATGATATGAATCATTATGTTTACAGGATATCCAGATATTAATCAATATGTACTGTAATAATGATATGAATCATTATGTTTACAGGATAGCCAGATATTAATCAATATGTACTGTAATAATGATATGAATCATAATGATGGAACATGTTGTAATACACCAGAAACCACCACACCATTACAGATTGTTACCTTCTCAGTTTTACTTGTTTGGTACGTGATTAGGATTTCTCTAATGTTTGTGAATTTGTGTAGAAAAAAATTACAACTGGCAATGGATGCCATCTTGTAACTTTTTGTTTAAAACTGACTATTTTCTCACCCAATTCAAATAATATTGCCTGCCAGTCTCATATATATCTATGACGTCATAAATATCAAAATGACAGCCCAGATAACTTGACCAAAAATGATTGCTCAAGTCATATTGTGTGATTCTGTGGGTATGAAATTGAAGCATTTTTTTTCCTCTGGGAATCTTTGATTTTATCATAAAAATTTTCCTTTAAAGACTATGACATTATTTTTTTCAGTATTGTGTCTGCTATAGCATTGGTTTTATATAAACGTAGATTAAGAAAGTTAATATCTAAGGCCAGATCTCTTAATAATGGTAGGTATTATTTTACTTTCATAGTTTCTGGTATTGTCAAGATTGATGGTGTGTTTCTTGCTACATTCCTCTATGATATAGTGAGTTTAAACCATCAAATATAAAGTGAACTTGTTCACCCATAGCGACATCATGTCATGATAATGGTCTTTGTAGTTCATACATAATGTCTGTATAATGGTATTAAAAGTTTCCACATATTGCAATGATAATGGTCTTTATAGTTCATTCATACCATCATAATGCTTTGTATAGTTCATACAGAATGTTTTGATAATGGAATTTCTACTTCATACACAATATCATGATAGTGATATTTCTGGCAAGATAATGGTCTGTATATTTCAAAAATAATGTAGCTTTCTCTTGAAATTTGTTTCAGAAAACGGGCAGAGAAATGGATGTCCAGCTGTTATGATCAAAGAAAGTACAGAAAATGCTTCTGAAATTTTTACATCATTAGCTAAATTAGCAATTATTATGTTTTACTTTTACCTCTGTGATAGGTGAGTTTAAAAAAATTAGCATTGTCTCCTTGCTTGAATTAGCATTGTCTTCTTGCTCAAATTAGCATTGTCTTCTTCCTCAAATTAGAATTGTCTCCTTGCTCAAATTAGCATTGTCTTCTTCCTCAAATTAGCATTGTCTTCTTCCTCAAATTAGCATTGTCTTCTTGCTCAAATTAGAATTGTCTCCTTACTCAAATTAGCATTGTCTCCTTACTAAAATTAGCATAGTCTTCTTCCTCAAATTAGCAATGTCTTCTTCCTCAAATTAGCATTGTCTTCTTCCTCAAATTAGCATTGTCTTCTTCCTCAAATTAGCATTGTCTTCTTCCTCAAATTAGCATTGTCTTCTTCCTCAAATTAGCATTGTCTTCTTACTCAAATTAGCATTGTCTCCTTGCTCAAATTAGCATTGTCTCCTTACTCAAATTAGCATTGTCTTCTCCCTCAAATTAGCATTGTCTTCTTACTCAAATTAGCATAGTCTTCTTCCTCAAATTAGCATAGTCTTCTTGCTCAAATTAGCATTGTCTTCTTCCTCAAATTAGCATTGTCTTCTTGCTCAAATTAGCATAATCTTCTTGCTCAAATTAGCATAATCTTCTTGCTCAAATTAGCAATGTCTTCTTCCTCAAATTAGCATTGTCTCCTTGCTCAAATTAGCATTGTCTTCTTCCTCAAATTAGCATAATCTTCTTGCTCAAATTAGCATTGTCTTCTTCCTCAAATTAGCATTGTCTTCTTACTCAAATTAGCTATGTCTTCTTCCTCAAATTAGCATAGTCTTCTTGCTCAAATTAGCAATGTCTTCTTGCTCAAATTATCATTGTCTTCTTCCTCAAATTAGCATTGTCTTCTTGCTCAAATTAGAATTGTCTCCTTACTCAAATAAGCATTGTCTCCTTGCTCAAATTAGCATTGTCTCCTTACTCAAATTAGCATAGTCTTCTTGCTCAAATTAGCAATGTCTTCTTCCTCAAATTAGCATTGTCTTCTTCCTCAAATTAGCATTGTCTTCTTCCTCAAATTAGCATTGTCTCCTTGCTCAAATTAGCATTGTCTCCTTACTCAAATTAGCATTGTCTTCTCCCTCAAATTAGCATTGTCTTCTTACTCAAATTAGCATAGTCTTCTTCCTCAAATTAGCATAGTCTTCTTGCTCAAATTAGCATTGTCTTCTTCCTCAAATTAGCATTGTCTTCTTGCTCAAATTAGCATAATCTTCTCGCTCAAATTAGCATAATCTTCTTGCTCAAATTAGCAATGTCTTCTTCCTCAAATTAGCATTGTCTTCTTCCTCAAATTAGCATAATCTTCTTGCTCAAATTAGCATTGTCTTCTTCCTCAAATTAGCATTGTCTTCTTACTCAAATTAGCAATGTCTTCTTCCTCAAATTAGCATAGTCTTCTTGCTCAAATTAGCAATGTCTTCTTGCTCAAATTAGCATTGTCTTCTTGCTCAAATTAGCATTGTCTTCTTGCTCAAATTAGCATAGTCTTCTTGCTCAAATTTTAATAATTTTGGGCACCTCAGAAATTAAGACTGATTGTTGTGATGGTGTGTTTCTTGCCATATTCCTCTATGATATAGTGAGTTTATACCATCAAATATAAAGTGAACTTGTTCACCCATAGTGACATCATGTCATGATAATGGTCTTTATAGTTCATACATAATGTCAATTTGTCACAACAATGGTCTTTATAACATGTCCTGTTAGTAATCTTTCATTCTAGAGTGATGTAAATGATCATGATTTTATTTTTTTCAGAACAAATTTTTTCATGAAAGAAAATAAGTATTATACTCATGTTAATTTCTTCCTACCATTTGCCTATGTTATGATATTAGGCTTCTTCTTTACTGAAAATACTGAACAAGTAAGTAGCTTACCTTAGTTGTTTACCCTTGTTTCTGTAAAAATTGAGCCTAGTTATGCTTAGTTATACTAAGGCCCAGTGTGCTACAGTCTGTATATTTTAATGATCCCTTTACAGTTAGAAATGGAATAAAGTGAGTTTCATTAGACCTATAAGGTGCAGGAACATAGATTATAAAGCTTCTTTTATTTCATCTTTTTTAGACTGCTTTGTTACATAGAGATCAAACTGATGAATGGAAAGGCTGGATGCAGCTAGTTATATTAATTTATCATTTAACAGGAGCTAGCAAGGTATCAATCCTTATTATTTCTTATTATTTAGTTATCTCAATGCTGGCGCTCTTGCATTTTGTGGCTCATCAGTGCTTTCAATGTGACACATAAGGAATTTGAGAAAAAAAAGGTAAAAATGGGGGTAAATAAAAGTGAAATGTGAGCTCCACTCTGGTATTAGGCCACAATTTATTTATATTGCAAGATCATGCATTAATACTTTACGATACTATACAATACTTTACGATACTATACAATACTTTAAGATACTATACTATACAATACTTTACTATACAATACTATACTATACAATACTTTACTATACAATACAATACAATACTTTACTATACAATACTATACTATACTATACAATACAATACTTTACTATACAATACTATACTATACAATACTTTACGTTACTATACAATACTTTACGATACTACTTTACGATACTATACAATACTTTACGATACTATACAATACTTTACGATACTACTTTACGATACTATACAATACTTTACGATACTATACAATACTTTACGATACTATACAATACTTTACGATACTATACAATACTTTACTATACAATACTTTAAGATACTATACAATACTTTACTATACAATACTTTACGATACTATACAATACTTTACTATACAATACTTTTATATACAATACTTTACGATGGTAGGAATTCATTTATATACACACATATAACTTATCCTCAAACATGATGCAGGAGAAATAACAAGTTGTATATAGTGTTACTTCATGTCTTAACTCGTCTTGCAAAATCATATCTTGTATCATTTATCTCTTCTATTGTGGTATGTATAGCATCATGGCATGATTGGCAATATCCAGTACCAGATACACCTTTGAGGTACTTATATTTTTGTAAGGTTTTCTATGTTCTTTGTTTAAGGTATTGTTACTCTATTTACAGGTCCTACCTATCTATATGCATATCCGTGTTTTAGTCTCCTCATATTTATTTTTAACTGGTTTTGGTCATTTTACTTACTTTTGGACCAAAGGGGAATACAGTTTATTTAGGTTTTGTCAGGTGAGTTGAGGTATATTACTATGCACCCTTTGTGAATTCATTATTTGGTTTATTGTTTGATTTGTGAATCTAAAAATTAAAGCACTCATAAAATATACAATAGTTTTTTTCTTTTAATTTCATTGATATCTTACGTAAATATTTTGTACAGATAAATAAAAATGTTTTAAGTGTAATAAAAATATATATAAGCTATATATATAAACTATTAGGCAATGCCTTGAAAAATAGGAATTCAATAATTACAATTAACTTTAATAACTATAATAATTATAATCAACTGTAAGGATTAAGAGAATATAAAAGTGATTCAAATAGAGGCATGTGTATAAGGAACACTGAAAGCTTCGTTACAATTTTTCTTTAGATGTTGTGGTTCTGTAAATGGCAATTTTTGTGTTTACCTCTCTGAGCACTCTTTACCCATCCCTCCTTTCCTATGCTTTCAGAGTGGTTGTGGGAAAGTTTATTGGCAATCAAGAAATAACAGTTTTCATCGGCTTCTTGAAGTAAGTTTTATTTACTTCAAATTGTGAAAAATTTAATGGCATTGAGAAAGTTGAAAATTTATGGTCTTCTTAAGAAAATTTTAAATCTTTTAATAATTCTATTTTTGAGCCTTTGTCTTTCCAAAAATCTGTAAATTTCAAACTCTGAAAATTCAAATTCAGTAGAAAATTGAAAATCTCTTTGACATCTTTTGATAATGCTACATTAGAAATTGATCTCACAAAAATGTGCATGAATCTGTCTTGCACTCAATTTTCTTGAGTGTTGTTTAATTGTTACTTTCTTGATTTCTAATAACATTTCTAAATACATTTCCATGGTTGGGTTTTTGGTTGATCTGTTGTTTGTACTAACTTTGTTTACTTTCATTACTTGTTTTCGCTTTTATAATTTTGGTATTTTTGTGTATCTGAACAGACCCTGTTTTAAACATTTAACATCAGATTTTAAAGTTGTAATGAATGGTGTGTTTCTTGCTATATTCCTCTATGATATAGTGAGTTTTTACCATCAAATATAAAGTGAACTTGTTCACCCATAGTGACATCATGTCATGATAATGGTCTTTGTAGTTCATACATAATGTCTGTATAATGGTATTCATATTTCATAGTTAATGTTGTGATCTATGATTTATAGATAATATGTCTTAATAATGGTTGTTATAGTTTATACATATCATCATAATGTCCTTTTTATACGCCCACACGTAAGATGGGCGTATATTGTAATCACCCCGTCCGTCCGTCCGTCCGTTCACATTTGGCTCGTGCTCACTCTACAGGCTACAGTTCTTTATGGATTCTTTTGATTTTTATTTTGTATGTCAATGTTGTTATGAAGATGATCCCTATTGATTTTCGTGATGATCGGATAATTTTTCACCGAAATATCGTGTCTGACTTGACGTTTTTCTCTATTAGCTATATTGTGCAATTCGTGCTCACTCTACAGGCTACAGTTCTGAGGATGATCCCTATTGATTTTCGTGATGATCGGATAATTTTTCATGGAAATATCCTGTCTGACTTGACGTTTTACTCTATTGGCTATATTGTGCAATTCGTGCTCACTCTACAAGCTACACTTTTTTACAGATTCTTTTGATTTTGATTTTGTGTGTCAATGTCATTATGAAGATGATCCCTATCGATTTTTGTGATGGTCGGATAATTTTTCACCAAAATATCCTGTCTGACTTGAAATTTTACTCTATTAGCTATATTGTGCAATTCGTGCTCACTCTACAGGCTACAGTTCTTTATGGATTCTTTTGATTTTTATTTTGTGTGTCAATGTCATTATGAAGATGATCCCTATTGATTTTCATGATGATTGGATAATTTTTCACGGAAATATCCTGTCTGACTTGACGTTTTACTCTATTAGCTATATTGTGCAACTTGTGCTCACTCTACAAGCTACAATTCTTTACATTCTTAGATTCTTTTGATTTTTATTTTTATTTTGATTTTGATTTTGATTTTGTGTGTCAATGTCATTATGAAGATGGTAAATATATCGAATTTCATAATACTTACAATCAAAGCTATCTGTGGGCGTATGTTACCTTGCCTGGCAAGCTATATTAATGATTTGTGAATATAAATGAAATCCTTTTCTTGAACGTATGTTTTCTGAGCGCTGTCATAGACCATCACACCCTGATCAATGTGCGTTGGATTTCTCATCAGAAATTCTCATGTACACACTTTTGTTTATTTCAGGTTTTATTCAGGTTAAATTTGTTGGTTATTTGTTTATGTTTTGTGATGAATCGTCCCTACCAGTTTTATTATTTTGTACCCTTAGTATCTTATTGGTTTCTTATTATGTATATTACTATGGCAATTTGGCCACATCTTACCAAAACATCAGCTGAAAGTAAGTTCCATTTTACATCAACCCAATATTTAAAACAACCATTAGATTGCTGTATTTTTTAAAATCTGTATTTTGTCTTAGTTGAAATTTGTGAAACCAGTACAGGAAAGGAGGCTATATGAAAAAGCAACTAGAATTGAGACTACTAAAAGCATGAATTGATTTAAAAAAAGACAGTAAAGATGCCTGGATTTCCAAATTCTATTAATTGAAAAAGTGGTTTTATTGATGGTGTGTTTCTTGCTATATTCCACTATGATATAGTGAGTTTATACCATCAAATATAAAGTGAACTTGTTCACCCATAGTGACATCATGTCATGATAATGGTCTTTATAGTTCATACATAATGTCTGGATAAGAATCTTTATATTTCATATATAATGCCATGAAATCAGTATTTTTCGTTCATACCGAAACATGCATAATATTAGTCTTTACATTAGTCTTAATTCATCATATGACAATGGTCTTAACATTATCTATTGTTACACCACTTGTCTTCATAGTTCTAACACAATGTTATGATAATGATTATGTTCTTTTTGTTGTATTTCAGCAAATACTTTACATTATATTTATATGATAGTCAAGTTTATAATATTGGCCACTTGTATCTGTTTATTTTATTTATCAGAGGTAAGTGTATATTACATTCTATTTAAAATATAATACCTCTTTATTCATGGAAAATCCCACAATGACACATTGATAGGCCTATCTAACACAATGTCATTGAAGATGCTAGCTATATGTTGCAACATGATTGATTTGGTCAAATGAAAATAATTTGGCTAATGTGTCTTTTTCCAGGTATTTTTTGAAAAAGTATTTTTAACACGTCCATTTAAAGGATTATTTGTAACGTCAGATGATTCTATACATGAATGGAGATTCAGATGGCAACTTGATAGATTTGTAAGTATCACACAAAATACTTGTGGGGGGAGGGGAGAATTGTATTGAGGTGTGGGGTAAAGGGAGATATGTCAGAAAATGTTTTTTACATGCTGATGGTGTGTTTCTTGCTATATTCCTCTATAATTTAGTGAGTTTTTACCATCAAATATAAAGTGAACTTGTTCACCCATAGTGACATCATGTCATGATAATGGTCTTTATAGTTCATACATAATGTCATGATTTTAAATGGTCTTTATAATTCATATAGTAGTTAATTGTTGCAAGAATGATAATGATGAATGCATTCATTTTATTGTTCATGCCACAATAAAATATCTAATGCTATGATAATGGTCTCTATAATTCATACATCGTGTCATGTGATTCTCTTTACAGTTTATTCATTATTTCATGATATTCGTCTTTTTATCTAATACATATTGCCTTGATAAAAATCCTTAAAATTAATACAAATTGTCATGTTATGGTCTTTATAATTCATGCATAATGTGATAATGATGTTTATAGTTCATACCAAATGTCCTGATAATGGTCTTAATAGTTTATACATGATCATGTTCTTTATACTCCATACATATTTTAATCATAATATATGTTATTAATATCTATATTTTCAGAGTGTATTATATGGTATGATATTTGCCTTTGCTCATCAGTTATTATTAAAATATAAAATAGTCAGTGATACAAGTACAGGAGATTTATTTTCTAAACCGATATCAACTATTGTCATGGCGATTGGTGTAGCTGGTATCGCGGTAAGTAGAACCATTAGATTAGTGTTTAATACTACCAATCATGCTATGATATTTTATGTATCGCAATCATTCGTATAGATGAACTCATCAGATTGTGTTACTAAAAAAATGACATTTTTATGTGTATCAGGAACACTGATGGTATTGATGGTATCAGACTTCTGGTTTTTGTAATTCAACTAAAATTAAGCTTTTCCTAATGCTGCTAATCATATAGTGAAATCATTGTGGTGAAGAACATAAAGATGTAACATGAAATTATATGTATTTCAGGGTTATACCATATTCTCCTGTTTCTGTAGAAATAAACTAGAATGTAATGAATTCCATTCCTATCTTACCTTTTTACCTGTAAGTATTAAAAGATATGTTTACATTTCTACTATCACTCCCTTCACTAAACCTGTTATACAAAGTGGCATTTATTGATAAACTAATTTGTCACATGACACAGATGTTGTCAAAGTACAATAATCTAAGATTCTAATCATTTATAACAGTGAAATTCTTAAATAAACCAATCCATCTTATATTGCCTCCCCTTTTTACTTGTGTACATATGAGCTGTTGCTGGCAAATATTTTCCTGCACACTGCATAGCAATACCCATCCTCCCATATAGTCCAAAGAGGCACAGAAACATAAGACTTTAAGTTCCATTTCATTTCCACTTGTCTATAGGCCAGAAGATATAAGAATATATAATTACAGAAGACTTGTTGATATTATCACTTGTTTCATTTCAGATTATTTCATATATTGTACTGCGTAATGTACCTGGCTGGTTACGAACTCGATACAGTTCATTCTTTGCCTGGTTTGGTAGAATATCTCTTGAAGTAAGTTATAGTGGTATGATTTTACTTTGCAAGTTTTTATACGCCCACACGTAAGATGGGCGTATATTGTAATCACCCCGTCCGTCCGTCCGTCCGTTCACATTTGGCTCGTGTTCACTCTACAGGCTACAGTTCTTTATGGATTCTTTTGATTTTTATTTTGTATGTCAATGTTGTTATGAAGATGATCCCTATTGATTTTCGTGATGATACAATTCTTTACAGATTCTTTTGATTTTTATTTTGTGTGTCAATGTCATTATGAAGATGATCCCTATTGATTTTCGTGATGATCGGATAATTTTTCACCGAAATATCGTGTCTGACTTGACGTTTTTCTCTATTTGAGTTATTGCCTTTGACTTTGTTAAAACGCGTGGAAATAGTTTGTGAGCAGGATTGAAGCTACAGTTTTCAACCGATTCTGATGAAACTTGTTGTGATCATTGGAATTGATAAGATCTCGGACAAGTTCTAACTTGATGCATTTTTGATGCACGGTTTTCGAGTTATTGCCCTTGACATTGTAAAAACGCGTCAAAATTTATTCGTGAGCACAATAGAAGCTACAGTTTTCAACCGATTCTGATGAAACTTGGTGTGATCATTGATCACAGTTTTCAACCGATTCTGATGAAACTTGGTGTGATCATTGGAATTGATAAGATCTCGGACAAGTTCTAACATGAGATATTTTTGATGAACATTTTTTGAGTTATTGCCCTTGACTTTGTAAACATGCGTCAAAAGTTGTTTTTTGCCCTTGATTAGAGCTGTGTGATTTAATTGTTTGTTGTATTTGGGTTATTGATATTGATTTTAAAAAATTTTGTGGAATTATTCAGCATAAATAATTTCTTCAATATGAGAAAATTTGTACTTTAGTCACTAAAGACTGTTTTATTATTTCTGACAGCTGCCAGTGGGCGTATGTTATCTTGCAACGCAAGCTATCTTTGAATTCTTCTATTAAAGTTAAACAAATTACTGCATGGACTACACATTTTCTATGGAATAGTCCTCGCTCCCATTGAACACAGATCTATGTGTTTTTGTGAACATTCTAGACTCTGTTTGATTATACTGTCTTAAACACTATTGGCTTCTTATCAGAAACCTAAATAGATCCCTAACCTAATCTAAGGCTTTTAAGAAGTGTTGTCTTTACCTACACTTTTGATACTTAGGTGAATTTTCTGTTTCAGCTATTTATTGTACAATACCATATATGGTTAGCAGCAGACACACATGGTGTTCTGGTCTTAATACCCAGTTATCCAGTCTTAAATGTTATCATAACTTCTTTTATATTTATATGTGTCAGTCATGAGATGTCTAAAATAACTAATGTACTTGTGAAATATGCTGTGCCTTCAGATTGGAAATCTTTATTACGAAACCTTATACTATTCATTGCAATATTGTTACCAATTGGTATCACGAATGGTATGTTTTCCTAGTCTTTGTTCCTTATAAATCATCATGTAAAATTAGACACAAATTGGACACAAATACAAGGCTAAATGGACAGTGATTAGTCAAAAACGACCCAAATGGTGGAAAGGGATGTATGTCAAGTTGGACTCAATTGGTCAAATCAGACCTAAATTGATAGTGATATTGGATTCGTTTTTACTGTTGCTACCATTTGAGGGTTTTAAGGAAAAGCACCTAAAATGCTCAACCAAAGAATTAGTTAAAGGGACAAATGCCCCATTTTCTGGTGTTGATATTAGTCTTGAATATATATAATAGTCTAAAGAAGTTTTCTAAAATCGGTAAACACCTTCAAAAATATCTCAAACTAATTCTTCTTTCAAACGTGGATAGTTTTAGCTAAGCTAAAAAAATATTCTAGTTTCTGAGATTTAGGTAGATTGGTAGAAAAAAATGGCGCATCTGTCCCTTTCAGTGTAGTCCAGTGTGGCAAAGTGAATGCTCAATTTATTGCTTGATAAAAATTTTGCTTTTTAAACTGTACTGGAACAACTCATTCTGGAAATTGACTGTTAAAATAAAATTCTCAGTGATATGTTGGTGAATATTTGTGTTATATTTTGTAAGAAAATCATGCCTTTTTCTATGCTTTATCAAGTCCTCGCGATGCAGATAGATATTTAAACTCTCACTGGTGCATGTAGATATTTCCGAAGAAAAACTTTCTTTTAACTCTTTGGTTCATCCAGATAGCGAGAACAAGGGTTTAATACCTTTCGCAGTATATGTGACGCAGAGGGCTGACATGGAAAAAGTGTTTAGTTGTTCGGATGGGATAATAAACCGAGGCCCCGTGTGCTACAGGCTGTACACGTTCCCTTGACATTTGGAGCTATGCAAAGCCTAATCCATAGGTAATAAAATTCTATTGTATGCATAAAAAGAAAGAATAGACAGTGATTGACTTAGGAAATTGTTTTTTTGAAAAAAGCATCTAAGCTGTACTAATAAATCAAAAATGTTAATAAAATTTCTTTATTTACAATAAGAGGCTTTTTTAAGTACAATAAATGAATGATTAAGTACATAGATATAATTTCTATAACGCAAACATGCACTTGCAAAACCCGACCGTAATGAAAATTATTATTTATAAATGAACACAAGTACAGTATAATACGTATAACAAATTCTTTAAGTACATATACGAACTATGTGCAATGGAAATATGGATTAAAACAAAACTCACTTAAAAGTACAATTATCTAGTTGGTGTTAATGGAATTATTAAAGCTATCATGTGAACACAAATTAAACTGAGGAAGTGAGGATACTAAACCTTTACTTAAGTAATATATTCTAGGTCAGGACAGCTTTAAACTGATAAAACTTAATTTGCATGTTGCAATAAAATACAGTTTAACATTAGTGCAGTAGAAGGTTCTAGTTTGGCACCATTTTAGGGTTCGTCTGTATCACGACATTGGTATGCTGATTTCATCTCAAAAAATGACGTCACAGCAACTGAAAAATAACATTATTTTGTACATTCTGTTATGTATATCGTTAAATTCAGTTTTTATACTTCCACATGAAAATGTGGTCGTATATTGCCGTCGCCCCTGTCCATCGGTCAACATTTGTGGGCACAATTATAGAGACTACAATTTTCATCTGATTTTGATGAAACTCGGTGTGACCCATTGGAAGTGATAAGATCTCGGTCAAGTTTGAATTTGACGATTTGTCGATTTTATAACCAAATCTGTCTTGAACAGTTTTTATACTCAAACTTTCTTAACACTTTTAATTATATCCAATCAATTTAGCAAGTTTCATTGCAGAAACATCAGAGAACATCTTTCCCCCTTTTTTGAAAGCTTTTCCCCCTGTATTTTATTCCTCCCTATTTTCTCACTTTCTTTTTTTTTTCTTTTTTTTCCTTTTTTTGTTTTTTTTTTTCAGATCTTCTAGTTTTCCAACAGTTATTAAATAATCTAACCAAACCAAGCCAAGCCAAGCCAACGACTACCATTCGACTACCAATCAACAAGAAATACCATGATCAGAACGAGTTTGGAAGAATGAAGGAGATCGAGTAACTCACGCCACACCCATCCAAGGCCGAGTCTCATCGCCATGTCATTCGACCCGACCAGATCTAACAACCAAACCAACAACACAGGATCATCCAATCCAACTACCAACTACTACGACTACCAACAACTACCTAGTTTGCGATATCAGCATCCGCTGGAAGCGAACGTTAACTTGTCATCTACCTACCTACCTTTGTCGATGAACGAATTTGAGCTATTACTCTGACAAAATGGGTTTGTGGGCACTATGGAAACTACATGGTGTGAGCATTAGAATTGATAAGATCCCGGTCGAGTTATAATTTGACTACTTTTCGATAAACAGATTTTTAATTATTACCCTTGACTTAGTAGTCGAAATTTGCTTGTGAGCACAACAGAAACCTCAATTTTCAATGGATTTTGATGAAACTTGTTGCGAGTATTGGAATCGATAAGATCTCGTTCAAGTTCGAATTTTACGAATTTTGAATTTTGAATTATTGCCCTTGACTTAAAACAATGAGAATTCGCATGAAAATTTGTTTTGTGGGCATTATGGAAACTGCAGGTTTGAATAGACTTGATGAAACATGGTGTGAGCATTGGAATTGATAAAATTTCGGTCAAGTTCGAATTTGACGATTTTTCGACGAACTGATTTTGAGTTATTGCTCTTGTTGGCACGATAGAAGCTACAATTTTCAACTGATGTTGATGAAACTTGGTGTTAGCATTTAAATTTGTTTGTTCGTAAGACTAGAATTTTTTTCATCTGATTAAAGTGATCATATATATTGATGAGATCCTGGACATTAGTTCGAATGTGAGGATTTTTGTTGTTGTACGGTTAAACGAATAAGTTGTTGCCCTTGAATAAGCCAAGTTGCATCAAAACACATACAATTTTGTGTGATCAGATGTATATATTTGATATATTAGAAAAGTTTGCATTTGACTGAAAGTTTTTGAATTATTGCCCGTGACTTAAAGACAACTGTCCAGTAATTGTTTTGGAAATTGAACAAATCAGAAACCGTTCGAATATTCAGAAACAAATGAAGTCGACTTACTCCATTCTGTGTCATAAGCTACGGGACAAATCATCATATATGTTCTTGACGGATAGAAAAATACCACAGATCCCTGAAACGAAATATAATAGAGTTTTACGTCCTGCTGCTCTGTAATTAGTTATCTGCACTATTCTAATAATTGAGTTAATCTAGTTATACCTGCACACAACAGCAATGGAAGACAGGAAATGAAACGAAATGAAATGAAGTTGTACGTCCTACTCTTATGCACCTTGTGGGCTAATGAAGACGGGCAACGCCATGCGGGGTGCAATGAGGCACATTTTGCCAGGACAGCGGCATTAGCCTGCTCTTTTTCGATTTCCAACTGTCGATGGATCTTTAACGTGCACAGCCTGTAGCACACGGGGCCTCGGTTTATTGTCCCATCCGAACGACTAGACGCTTTTTCCATGTCAGCCCCTCTTTACCTGCATCACTGACAGGGGGAAATCCGAAGGTATTATCTCGACCTATGCCGGAATTGAACCCTGGACCTTCAGGTTAGCGAGCAGACGTCTAAATCACTGAGCCACCGCGGCTCCTAATGGAAGACAGAAGTCTTGAGTTTAGTGACTATCGGCCCACTTAACATTGTCGCTCGGGTTCCGTGTCCTGTTTTGTCGCGCAATTATAAGTTTTAGTAATCTTATTAGCAACAAAAGTGATGGGGACCGGTCCCGGTGTCCCCATCGCGATCTGCACCCGTGGGTCCTCAAGTTCCATTCCAACACTAATGAACTGTGAATGCAATAGCTACTTATTATGCAACCTAAGCCCTTTGCGCTAGAGGCGTATGTAAACTTAGTTTTAGTGATATTTCAATACCCAAAAGACGCGTGTGAAAATCGGAATGGTGCAAATCGATGATATCAATGTCCCCGATACTCTTCACAAGTTCAGATAATCTCTTTTCAAATCCTGTCGTTCCTTCCACGAGACCCAAAATTAACAAATTAGGCTACCTACTCGAACTGGGGTGGCTCGAACTCTGTTGTATGGAAAAACTATTTCACCTCCAAGCTCAATATTACGTAACTGAAATTAGAATAGAATAGAACTGTTCTTGAGACTAAATATTACCTTTATTATTTTGAAATATTTGTTTTTCGTAATTCAATTGCAGGCGATAGATCAGAAAGGATAACATTAATAAAGTACAAACAAAACGTTTTACTCACAAAAGCAAACATTGAGGATGTATGTCCTGTAAGACGAGCAGCCTGAAACATCAAAATATCAATTACACTAAAAATTAACATTAATAAAAAAAAAAAATTCTAGAGAATTACTTCCCTTAAAGTAAAACATATATAAAACGTTACTAATTAATCATAAAAAAATCACAACAAATCGTTAACAACTCAAATTGCTCTGGTTTAATTTGATTAGCAGATCTCTTTCATAATTTTTGATTTTATCTGATGCTAAGATACATCGGATCACAAAAGAGTTATTTTTACTTGTAAGTTGTGCGCCCAAAATCAAGGTGATATTTCTCTATTTGAGAAGGTATAACAACATTGTGAGTAAATATTCCATCTAACGAATAATTTGGTTAGCTCCGAATGTAAAAATTCTTACCGTATTTGTAACGTCATGAATATCGTAGAATAAACCTTCTAAACCTATATTTCTAACCTGAAAGCAACACAATAAACGGTGTTTACGCCCGCACTTTTCAGTTGAAGGGAAACAGTGCATATTTATTTCAAATTTTTCAGTCTGGTCTTTTACGATTTTCTGTCGTCGTGGACTCTTTAGTATACACATTTGGTGGCCCATTTTGTTGTGTGAAAAACATGAACAAGTTTCCTATTAGAACAACCCCTTCTCCTACTGAGATCCTCACTTCAGTAAAAAAGAAAAGAAAAGGGGTGCTGCTAATTCAGACCAGACAGGTTTACTGTCATTGATGGATGGTCCACACAGCTTACAATGTTTATTTTGTGTGTCGGAAACAAACTTACATCCAATAGACCCTTTTTGTAGGGCGCTGTAGAAACGAATGGTAAATTTTCCAAGCTCTGTTTCAATTCTTTCAGCCATTTCTTCCTAGCTTTGTCTTGTGGCAACGTCCTACAAAACAAAAATATCCTTTATAATGTCACAAAGAAATTTAAAGTATCTTAGCCTCTGATGGAAATCACATTGATTATCAAAATCCAGAATCCCAACGTTTCCCGTCGTTTATATGCACACAGACTCGTATATTAAAAGTAGGCCATATTTCTAAATAAAATTATGCTGGCGTTTCCCCCTTTGGTCAATTCATATGTTTTGGAATTTCAACTCATGCAGAGAATCTTTACGCCAAATGATGAAGGGGCACACGAATATTTAAAAGTTATATTCCTCGGCGGAATGTTACTCAATGATATCAGTATCAAGGTCAATTGGTTTTCGAAATATCGATTGCCTAACAAAAACGCCGAGAATTTAAAAATTGTCGAAGACATCAGCGAATTTGGGCGAATTTTTTCAGCGATTTTAATATTCGCCACGATCGGACGATAAATTACGCTCATCTGCCACCAGCATTACACAGTTTCCAAAACAGGGAATAAATGTCAATGCATGGACAAAGACACTTACACATATGAAGATTCACTGAAAAAATTTCCACCATACGCCACGTTCTTCATCTGAAAATTATCAAATTGCAGAGTGAATTTTTGGACACTGGTCAGGTCAAATGATCTCATCGAAGTTGTCGACAAATTGAACGCCTCATAGAAACTGTGATAAACTGGATGGTTGTAAATCAGATTGCAACATATTGCTAGCAGACGTTCGATTAATCTGATGCTCTCAAATTCTGTGTGCCGCTAGGTCGATCTGACTGCCCTAGCCATCCGAGGTAAAACTATTATTGTAGACTAATCAGACAATGATTCTGAAAAGTGTAACATGTATCCGGAATTCATTTTGATTAACACCTCATTTAGATATCGAAGACGAGCATGATGATTAAGTATGCAATAATTCGCTGTCGCATGACAAATCACCATACAGCGAGGTAAATTGTTTCTCAATATCGCTTTCACAGGACAAGAAAAAGTAAAACATGGCCAAATAGTTTAATATAAGAGACATTTTGATTTTAGAATCGCTGTCACTTACAGAAACATGATCATGTAGTTTATAATAAGAAAATTTGATGTGACAATACAAAGAAAACTTACCAATTTGTAGCCAATATGTCGAACTGCCTCGGCGGTATCATAGTCAAAGACGTCATAAAACTGTAGAATTCGAGGTTTAAAATTCAGAATTTCCATTTTGACGTATATGAACATCTTGCCTTCCATCTTTTGGTAGGTACAGTAATACTTCTTGGCTATATGGGCTGGCTAAAAAAAAGATTTACGTCATATAAAAGGACATTTGTCTTGAAAAGTGGAGAATAGAGTTTAATCTTAAAGGCTATTTCGTCGGACCTGTTTTTACATAAGACAGGAGTCAGGAGGTAATTGTTTGTGTATGGAAGGGGTGGTAATGAGACGCTTTGTAGTTTAACATAAAATCTCTGGACAATTATGATGATTTTCCGACATGAAAAAGGTAGCAGAGATAACCTAGGAGAAAATCACGAAAAAGTAAGGTGGAAAGGGGGGTAATACAATTGATCAAGGATCCGGAAAGAGGTGACAAATAGATAAAGGTTGGAAACCTCCGGCATAAGATGTCATCTCGTGAACATTTCCCATTGTTTTGTATCTATGTCTACAAAAGGATGGTGCGAAAGCAAGCAGTTCAGTGGCCCTAGCATGTTTTAGGAGAATACTTTCTTAAATGGTTAAAGTCTGCTTATCCTCGTATGTTTATCGTACCTTTTTCAAGTCTCCTTTACACAGGGCCTCGTATTTTCTTCTAGTTTTGTCAACTGGTAGGACTCTCTTCATAGGAGGCTGGGGATTATCAGTTGGTATTCGTTCAAAATATTTCACATTGGCTTGAGCTAGTTTACTATCAGGCTCTGAAAACAATATGAAAAAATTGGTATATTATAATGAAAATAATAAGGTAAAACTGGAGGGTGTGTGTCAGTTTCATAAACACAAGGCTTGTGGATAAATATTTCTCCTAATGTTCAATGATATATGAAATTTTGTAAATCAATGTAAATCAGCATGGTGATAGGCTTTTATTATGAAACACCATGATCTGTGTTTTTTGAATAATACACTTTATACAAAACCCTAGCCTACTTACCTATTTTTAAAACCATATGTGCAGCAAATAACGCATCTCTGTGTTGCCCTAGCTGAAGCAAGAAAGGCATATATTTCAAATTCTTTCGTGTACAATGTAAGCTTTATATTTCAAAAAGGGTAGAGTAAATTGTTGTGCACAAACTGTCTGGATACAGCCGTTTCAATGTTAGCTTGCAAAGCCATTAAGACTCCATTTCAGCTATTACCTTGCCAAAAACCTCTGTCCAATTTATCTTTTTCTGAAAGGTATTATAAACCTTTTTACATCCCTTTAAGCAGAATATGTAGTCAAGCAATTCCGACTTACCTGATTATAAGAGGACGCCAAAATCGAGAAGAGATTCTTCATGCTGAAACCATAAGTCTCTGTGGGTATGTCATAAGTACTAAACATGCTAGTTAGATATTTGGCCCAGGTAGCAGCGTAGAAGAAATCTTCTCTATGGAAAGCTATTTTGACTGGAAAATTAAGAATAGATTATAAAGTGGTGTCGTTTTCTACCCTGGGATTTTGAATGATTTTATGTAAATTTAAACGGTTTGAGTTTCAATCAAAAAAAAAAAAATCTTAGCTTGGTTCTAAAGAAAAGTACAACTTCGATTCTAAAACAAGTTGATGACGTCATTTGCGAAAAGAAAAAACTGTTGCATTTATAGAAGACATCATGCAAGGATGGAATACAAAATTTATCAAAAGGGTGGAAATCTATTGCGTTTAATCTGATGAAAAACCCTTAATGTAAGCATGGCCAAACTCGAGGATGTAAAAGGTTTCAATAACTTACCTATCTCAAAGATATCTCTTGGTGACAAGGGGTCTAGTGAGGTATGGTTTCCGATCTTACCAGCAAACAAATCTTCAGCCCGAATATTGTGGACGTGTTTCAGTATAACCAAGTCATACGCTACGTTTTCGTAATGCTCCTTTGATGGCAAAGAAGTTTTAAGATTCAACAGAGTTTTGGTTAACTCGGGCATATTCCCTGGAATAAAATGTATGATAGAAATGGAGTTTTAACTCTTACTTTTATGCGCCCTTTTAGGGTATTTAAGATGGGCATGCAGTAGGTCATGAGAGACATTGTGCTAGGGGTGAGACATTCATTAGCTCATTAGCTTCACCTTTTCCCAAAAACTATTATTATGGACATATGACTTGTGATAAGATGATAGACCAAACCGTGCCTCTATCCGTTCAAACCCAGCCCCATTCAACAAGATAACACCCAACTAACAATTTTTACTTTGTTTACGTTTGCATCTTATGTATTGCATACTATTGGCTATAAACTCTACTCATAAAGATGGCATTCTTAAGCGTCCATCCATTACCAAATACACTCCACTTTCATTTCTGAAATCATCCACTTTTGAACAAGACAGACCCCACAGTCAGCTCAATGACATGGTTTACTTTTAATCAGACCATCCATAATCTGTTATCATTTGGTCATTCTGGTCATTAGATGGCAAAACACACTCCTCTCGTCCATCTACGCCCCACCCTGTACAAGACATCACCTCACCCAATTCCACACTTTAACCGAACTTACATTTTTTACATGGTTCACTTTTAAACAGAACATCCATGGCGTCTGACCATTGGTTCATTCTGCTCATAAGATGGTATACATTAATTGGGTGTTTGATGTAGTGCTTGAATTTTGAATTTAGCATTCGGTGAACTCGTTTAGCATCTTCTAATAACCTGATAATATACATAGAAATTATTTAATTATTTAGTTGTTCTAAATGCATGTCCTATTCTAAAGTTGACTTAGTTACATAATGTATTCATATTCAAAATAATAATTAACATATAATGTCTCCATGTGAATGAATCAAAATTCATTACATTAAATTTAAAATTACTTTTTACAGGAGGCAACTTGCATAAAACTTAAATATTACCCCTGTATCCAAGCAAATACAGCATGAATATAAATAATAGAAAATATAAATGAATTGGAGCTTTACGATTTCCAATACTTGAAATTTCTTATAATGGAGGAGACTGATTTGCATAATATCAATTGATGTTCTCATGCATAGTGAAATAGTTTTCTACGTATAATTTATATATAAGATACCTTTTAAACCACGCAAATACTATTTGCTGTCTTTCACAGAATGAATGAATTAATTTAGCGGATGAAAAAAGCGGATTGAAAAAGAAACGAAGGAAGGATAATGAATGAATAGCTTACTCTTTATTTTTCATAATTTCTTGCACATGAACGGGTTCCTCTTCATTGTGTAGAAATCTTTCCGATTCGTCTTCATGTAATCCATGATGGAAATATTCCTGGCGCATAAAAGTCGTAAAAATTGATATAAGTTCCTCTTCCATAAAGAACAATTTCTCTAAATTCGTCTGAGTCGTCAACGTAAAATGATACTTTTGCGCATTTACAGGCACCCCGCCAGAAATTGGCGGCACAAACCCAAAAAGGAACAGAATTATGCTCATTTTCCGTTCCATTTTGAAGATTTCGGCTAAAATCTTGAAATTTTCTTAATGTGTGGTGTTGGCCGGAAGTGACGAAACGTGCAACACGTTCTATATCGAAGGCTATAACGTGTATTCAATAGGGCGCCATCTGGTACGAATAAGACCCTTACCGTTAAATCGATGAGGGTTATTATTAGTTACATTTATTCTAACTTTTGAGTTCATATTAAAAGCTTAATATGCAGGCCTAGATTTTACATGTATTGAATAGAAAGTAGAAAAGTAAAGGGAACTTTCGTAGTCCGTTTTGTTGATTGGACAATCACAAAGCTCATACTGTTCTTCAGCTCAATAAATGAATTATTTGGACTTGAACCCAAAAGTACGATCACTACAATGTCTACTTTCGGTTTGTATCGATTACCATAGTTACAGGTGCGAACGACATGTGCTAAACTGTACAAATCGATACGTAATTTTAGGTGTAAAATCAACAGTTAACGGCGAGTTAAAGACAACACGAGATACTTGTGTCTAATGTAAAACATCATGCTCCGGTTAAAAAAAAATTGGCTTTTTTATTTATATCCAAATAAAATTCATAAAACTGGAATTACTCCCTCTATTGATATTAATGTCGAAAAAAAATTTCTTTTCATAATATGATTATAATTTATCTTAATATTTGTCATTGCGAGAGAGAATTAAGCTAGCGTCCCTCATTGTGCACTGCATAGCATAAGCCCATACTCAGTAGGTAAGTCAAGTAAATAAGAGTCGGATGTAATTTCCATTTCAATTGGCACCGAGGATCAGTAAGCAACAAGCTTTACTATAGTCAAAATATTCTGAATAGTGTAGCTTATACCGCACAGTTTCTGATGATATTTAACTTATCGCATATTGCATGGCTGTACCCTTCGTCATTGATCCAATAAGGTGAAAAAAATAGGCCTTTATATGGATAAATTAACTTATATATTGAATATTATATAATAATTTCATTACGTCATTAATTCTTTACTGTAAAGTATTCTTTTGCTAGAATAATAAAACGAAATCTTTAAGAATATCCGTGAATTCGAATTAATCCACGGTCAAATCAATATAGAACCAAATTCTGCCTTCTTTGAATTAGAGACAAAATTCGCGTATACAATATTTCAGGCAGATTCGAGTGCATCAAGTGGACTATTCCAATATATAATGAGATTGTCTGACACGTACTTCTGTAACAACCGCCATTGTTGATGTTGACGACAAGAGAGAAGTAACAGGCATGCTGATTGCAGACTTTTGAAGATACCAAAAAATTTGCATTCTGCCCAAGAACTTCCCGCCTGTAGACAATCATGACAAGTGAACACCAAAAGCAATCAGGTTACAATAATGGTCTGATCTCAATTTTGAAAGAGGCAAGTTAAATTTGTTTATTTGTCTATGGCCCCATGATCAAATCACGTCACCATTTGCCACGTGTCGTACTCTTTTTGTAAGAGGCAGACTCTTGACAAAAACGGAGAGCCAAGTCATTTGGTTGGTGGGAGAGGGTTTTTCGTCTGCATTTCCCTTATTACATCGTTGAGCAGTATCACAAATTTTTGTTTGCCTTTAAATAAAAAAAAAATATATAACAAAAAAAAACAAGGATATCTATTATAGTATGGTATTGGGTTTTTTGTTATATGCATGTGCTTCTAACTGTTCAAAATTATCTGAATAAAAAGGGAGTTAATTGTGTGTAGTACTTTAAAGTTATCTCTCTTTGATCTGGATCCATGCAGTCCTTCAATTATGATAAGTATAAGATAATTTATTAGTAAAGTTCTTGTATTGTTTCTATTCTAGTTTACCCGTAGTGTGGATAAATTGAATCAAACAGTTTTGTTCCCGATGAGACTCCAAGATATGGACATCAACTCAGTAACTAATAGCAACAACGAAATGGTGGAGGTCTTCAAGCATTGCTTTAACGACACAAAAATTGATAAAGGTTTGAATACTTTCTGACCAACTATTAACTAGGTGACGTTACTAATTCTGTTATAAGTTCTCTATCAGATCTCGCCTGTTAAAAGAATAGTGGAGTGTTATGTGACAACACATTGCCAATCGAATGTTTGATTTTACATCATAGGGTATTTTGGCAGTTATATCCAAGTGTGGACAATAATTTACTTTCAAAATAAGTATCAGAGGCTGGAATAGAAGCCGTTGACCATAGTCTGAAGACATTGTAGGCGGAAGCAAAATCAGGCTTTAGGACGAGTACACAGAATTTAAAAAAACTTGAATGAAGACTTGAGAGCTGGTCAAATCAAATTCTTGTTCATGTTCTTTTTCAGATCCAAATCTGTACGAATTATACATGTTGCTTGGTGACACCAGAACTGAACTTATCACCGGAAGTGACGCAGATGATGGTCGTAAAAGCACTTTATTCCACAAAGATTTGCGACGAATCATGGACACAGTGAAGCAATTAACAGACTTGTCGGAAATAGTTCGATTAAATTATGAAACGTCACTCATGCCTCCACGAAACGGCTGATTGCAAAATTTGACGTCTTATTTGTCGACATGCATTTGGAATTTTGTGCAAATTTAGAAAATTTGCTTTACTGTTGAGACAATTGTCTAGATTGTTGGTTGATGCTGTAACAGTATCGCATCTTTCAAATTATCAAACAATAATGTTAAAATGTAATTATTCAAGCAAAAAGACTTTTTCTTCCTCGGTATGTCAGTGTCGTCGTGGCGAAGTGACTTCATGAGTTCAGAACTTTCTCGTTGACCTAGCAACCTTGATTGAATCCATGCATCTAGATAGGTACCAAACGGCCTAAGTTACGCTTATCGCTCTGAAACATTTCACGGTAGAAATGGCGACCGTCATCACCGGTACTATGTCAATATTGTCACGTAATCACCAGGTCCCCACCCCGGAAATATTTAGTTGACACCTTAGGAGGTTTCGGTCTGATCCTAATTTTATTTCAGTTTCCTCCTCTGATTCAGATCGGAGGAGCTGACATGACAAATGACAAACTGCAAGGCTATTGTGGTATGGATGTGTTCATGTAAGATCAATGCAATTGGTAAATATAATAGAGAAATAGAGATGGTTGCCGCAAATTTTCCCTCATATTTTTTCTCTCTATCTATCGAAACAGTCCAGTTCATTCCATTGATTCAATAATAATACAGCTTTGCTAAAATAGAATGTAAATCTCCAGTTTAAAATATAGGACGCTTTAATACAAATTATTTCTTCTATCTACATCTAGATAGCCTTAACTTTCGCATGTTTTGTAATATATGGTAAGTTATAACACGAGCGAGATCAAATCCAATACGACCATTATATATAGTATAGCGCAGTAGATTTTGCTTTCATATTGAGTTGTAGGTCTACAGAGCCCTTTGAAGGTAAAAGTATTTATCTCGCAATTTTCATGTATAAATAATTTTAGATGTAAGCGTCGGATTTGCTATGAGTATATGAGATGGGCTGTCATATTAAAAAAAGTACCTCTTTGAACTTGGTATCGAACTTACAAGATATTTTTTATTAGAGTTGAAGGAATGTTTCGGTTATTGACATACAAGTCATACTTGTTTCAACACGGCCGTGTGTATAATGTGTGGTATAACAAAACATCTACGCATGCTGTATTTCAAGGGCGTCACGTTCAAGTGATTCTATTATACCTACTTTGAACGTTAAGAGTACTGAATGAAATTCGGTTATATGGATTTCTTAATGTTAGAATGAACTTAAATTCTGAAAAGAAGAGTATTCATGTATATCCCTGTATATTCTGTTAAATCCATAAAATTAAGTAATCCATAGAACATAGTAATCATTGAAAAACGCTTTAACTTTTTGTATTCGAATTATAAAGGAAATTCTGTCGTACCGACTATGTCCAATGATGATTATATATATTGTACTCTTATTGGCCAAGTTTTAGAATTTTTATTTTACGTTCATTCTTAAAAGAATACTCCTTTAAAATGCTGATAGGATTAAACATTTTTTTCTTCATATCAGTTTGTAAGAGTAAATTTATGACCAGGCAAATATGTCGAATCTTATTGAAATTAGATACATTTGTACTGTATTTTAAAATGATTGTAAAAGGTTTTCTGAACTTTTTATGTGTATAGGAGAGACTGATGAATTTGCACCTTTTCAATCGTCTGTCAGTTATATGTAGTTCTTGGATTAAAACTACAACTATGTGTTATTTGATTTCACCATCGCAAAGGTCTCAAAGTCCTACATATATCATATTATTATGTATTATTAAGTTGTAAAAGAATATGTGATATATATTTATACACTGGGCTTTAGTCATAATCCCCTCCCCTTTACTGTGGTATACCTCACATGTAGAAGCATAGCTGTGTGTTCTCTCAGAAGTGACTGGATTGCCGAGGCGACAAGCCCAATTACATACTGGCTTAAGGTGTACTGGATGAAAAAGGTAATTATTACATTCAACATATATTAGAGTAGTACTGTTATGTCAAACTAGATTCAAGGCATAGGTTCAATAGTTTAAGGCTTAGGAGTGTCCTGGTGGATAAAAGCCTGAATGTTTACTTTCTATTTACTTATCGATATATGTTATCTTGTATAATATAAGTAATTGAAGCTGTTTATCATGACCTCAGAAAGTGGATATAGGTTCACAAGGCATTATTTGTTTTAGCTCATAGGTATAGGGGGTGGTTGGGAGGATTGATACAACACCCACTGCCCACAAGCAAAGATGTTTCTTATTGTGATCGACACGAGTTCATGCAAAGTTCTAATATGATTATATGGGTTTCGTGAACTAAGAGGTAGTTACATATAATAGTATAACCTACAATCTCAATTACAATTTATCTCTGATATTATTCTTTAAACCCAACATAGAGAATTATGACACCCCCCTCGCAGTCGATATCGATATTCCACTATACGTAATTGTTCTCAAGAAACGAGTCCTAAACGTACATAGTACTGGGTTGAAAACTTGTTAGCTTTCAATGGAGACAAAATATCAGAAAAATAGAAACGTAATGTTATCTCATTTTGATTAGATTGCATAGAATATAGATTATAATAACTTTTTACGCAAAATAGTTTTCTAGCGTTGTTAGCTTTGAAATCAAGGGTGACTCACTGCTATAGTGTTAAAAAATCTGCTTTCTAATTGCTGCAGATATTTCGTAACGGTAACATATTTTATGATTTGACATTGTATTGAGTAAGTACGCTTACGTTAAAATTCACAACGTCGGTAGCCGTATAAGTAGCCTATAACAACATTTGAGATCAATTATTGGTCACTGTCAGCGCATCCGTTTGACCAATCATACCTTAAACTCAGAAATGGGACTTAAGTAGCTGCGTTAATCAATATTTGAGCCTTCAAATACGTATGACCAGAATTATCCGCGTTTGAAAGCTAAAATGACGACTTGCCTTTTTTAAGACTCGGACATACTATTGAGAAGACATTATAAACGTAGAAAGTGAAATGTCTAGTTTTAGGTTTATTCAAAGGGATTAGTTCGGCAGTTCAAGTTCAAGATTAATCACATACATTCAAAACACAAAACAACCGCAGAAAACAACGAACGATGGCCTTTAATATTGGTCTACTAGTTTCCCCGATAACATATAGGCCTACATGTATCTCATTAAAAAATGAATGATTGCCCATTGCTATCTTGTCACAATCGCACTAGTTTATCTGACACGAGTGTTTGATGAAAAAGCTTTCACTGTTGATAAATAGAACTAAGTAATTAGGTGCAATTAGTGAAAGATAATTATTTCCTTTACTGTTCTAAAACGTTAGATTATTTCAGCCTTGACCTATGTACATACAGGTCAACCATGAGAGTCGGCCATCTAGTTGAATGTTTCCTGAGTCAAAATACGTGTAAGGAGTGTGGATGTTCATTAAAGACATCTTTAATGAATTATTTAAAGAATTGCTAAAGCTGTGTTCTCCCTTTTAAAAGAGTAAATATTAAAGCTGTGTTCGCCCCCTATTGAAAAAGTATATATTAAGTGTAGTAGTACTAGTACTTATATAGATGTACAGTAGTGCGGAGCTAAATGAAGGGGTTGGCGGGGTTAGTTGGGGTATATTCGGTAGATCTATGTCTTAACACGTGACTAACCTAGGGACCCTATATAGTGAAATTTTGATTTTTTGCGAATCTATAATCTTTTGTTGACGAGTATTTAACGTGCACAAACTAACGTGTCATTGGATTCGTAGGACCTCTGATAACCTATTAAATCTACTCAGATTGGCTGGACCGTAGAGGACTTGTTTTGTAACTTGGTATACATTCATTATACATGTGTTGCTTGGGGAAATTCGAAAGATTAGAAACAATACACTCAAGCCGATGTGGGATAGATTAAAAACATTAGTTATTTGAGAGGTTTGTTTTCGTGGAATTGCAAGAACCACAGACCAAACATTGGAGTAGTGCAAATTGATGCTATCAGAGTCCCCGATGCACATGAATAAATTTAGAAAACTTATTTACAATCACTTTGATAAACCTTGTTGAGGTCTCGGAGATCTTGTCTACCAGCTGGTCCTTGACTGACATAATACCAACTGAAATGAGGAGGTAATTTTATTTTATGACTTAATTTTAAACACTTTATCAGGTGTCAAATTTTATATGAAGACGAATATATCCATTAAAATGAATACTACCTTTTAGATTGAATTTTTAAACTATAGGCAAAAATATGCCTATGCTCATCGTTGGACTTTCCTGGTGTCATAACTACATACAACAGAATATCTCTAAAGTCCATTTAACTAAATAATTTCGAAACACTATTCTATTCTTTAGACACTAGTTGAGTCCGACCGATAGATATATTTTCTTATTGACCAAGATTGAGAATTTTATGTCCATTCTAAGACAGTTTAAAGGGAGCGTCAAATTAACAAGAATTGTCCTAAAAAAATTCTCCTCTGGAATATAGATTTTAAAACTTGTGTTCTTTTGAAAAATCATTCAGGTTTCCGTGTGTTTTCATGTTGAAGATCATAACCTTAATGAATAGAACGACTTCAATTATGATTGTCCAAGAAATATATACTGGACTACAAAGCGCCAGAGTAATTAGGCCTACCCTGGGTTGGAGATACCCATAATAAGACGGGAACCATAACGAGAGTTGTTCTTATAAGTAATGGAGTGGAACTGGCATATTTCTGTTATGCTTGTGCGTAATAAATAATAAACTTTACTTTTGTTTTGACCGATATGCACTCTTAATTCTGAAGGTTTTGTACTACACCAATGTTGGTGTTAATATATGCGTCGTTGTCATAAATATGAGATTGGCCATTTTGTACTTGATAAGGTAAATATAGTCATTAAACTTAATGATTGGATGCTATTTGGTTAGTAACATTCGGATGCTTTGGACAATTTAGATTATTTTAGCTGTTGGCTTTTCAATCCTGTTCAGTGAGTTTGCTTAATTTGATTTAATAATCAGTCTTCCTGGCGATCATTGTATATCCAAAATCAAAACATTTTAATGGGCCGTCAAAGTTAATCCGTCAAACTTTCTGAAGGTAAAAACATGTTATTGTGAACATACGGCTTGTAATTTTGAGGATCGCCCAGGGGAAATTGTCAGCTAGTAACGAGTTGAATTGTCGTCTTATAATGCTACAAGGGTTCGAATCTTTCTGAAGGTAAAAGAAACATTGTGAACAGGGCTAGTGATTTCGAGGATTGCGCACTAGACTTACCCCAGTCTGTACCAAGTTGAATATTCGTCGTAAGCTGCAAATACCTAAAGATAAGGACAGTTTTTATTATACTGCTAATGCATTCGGAAGTCGTTCCTTTTAAATATTTTGACATTTTCCATTCTATTTTAGGTGTAAAATGAATGTGTATGGATTTATAAGCAGTATACCAAGTTGGGTACTAGTTCTGACACTAGCAGTCTTCCTTCTCTACATGTGAGAGTTAATTTGAGTTTATTTTGTCCTAACAAATAACGTAGTGAAGTAAAACTCCATTTACTTTGTCCAATATGTTACCGATCAGTAATATTTAAAACACGGATTTCATTATATTGGGCACAAAACTCATTCCTCTAGCCCAAGACATTAAACTCCATTTAGATTCTCTGTCATTCGCCAAGTATCCTCCTGATAATTATGCCTTTTAAACTCCATGATTCAACCGTTTTGCTGTAGAAAAGTAGAACGTTAAACTCTCATTTCATTTCAATAGTCCTATATGCAAGCAGACCATAATGGAGTATAATTTCATCCCTACTTCATTTCATCAGCTGGATATTAAGATGCAAAACTTATATTTAATTAATCCAATATGTCTTTTATTTCTTCTGCTGATTATGCCAAAAGAAGCACAACTCCATTTCTTTTCTTTTTCGTGTAGGTATGTAGTACAGAAGTACAGGTTCTTCAAAGAACTTGGGGTTGATGGACCAACTCCTGGATTGTTACTAGGGAACGTTGCCCAGCTAAAGCAACATGGGGTTTGTAATATTTTTTATAGTATTTGAAGTCATTGCTTCTCAGTGAGTAGGACGATTGCTCAACAACCCCTGAGGACTAGCTTCGTTCTAAGTATAGATCAATGTAGCAACTGGCTTCGTACTGTAGGTTAGAGGGACAAGCTCGGGTAAAGCGTCAAGTCGTTCGGATAAGACAGTGACCCGAAACCCCAAAAGAAACTATGTATGGTTCTTACATGAAAATATCTATGTTTACTGTGTGGTATTGCTTGCTTATTACATTAATTTTTCTTCCAGTTCAATATAATAATCCTTTAATTATTATTTTTCCAGGGCTTGGTACATGCTATTAGACGATGGAAGGAGCAATATGGTTCAGTTTTTGGAATTTTTATCTGTCGTCAGCCTAGACTAGTTATTAGCAATTTGGATATTTTAAAAGATATTTTTATTAAAGAATTTAACCATTTCAGTGACAGGGAGGTACTATTACCAAAATGCAATAGGAGAGGGGGTCTTCTTGACTGCAATAGCCGCCTTTCTTGCATCACACAAGGCAGTGATTTCATTGGATTGTACTCCAGTAAATACAGCCAATCATAGACCTCGACAGTGTCGAACTTTCTGACTAGAACTCTAATTTCGCTAACCAAATCGCTGCATTCTCAAACTTCCGTGTTGAGAAAAAGGTACCTATTGCAGTCAAAGTATAAGACGAAGTTCGTAATAACTTGACTATATGACATTTTCGTACAATGCGAAAAACTTCCCTTTTTCGGAGGAATTCATTTAGATTTACTCAATTCTGTGGGTACCATCGTGGAATTCAAGACTGCTGTCAGAACTGGCGTCCACTTAGACTGGTTTTTACGTCCAGAAATACTAACACTTAAGTACATTGATCATAAGTTTGTTTGAAACGGGAACACGAATCTGATATTTCAGGAAATGCTGGTGTTTAACATTATTTCAAAAGGTGTATTCTTTCAAAGAGGAAATAATTGGAAGAGAATCCGGAGTATCATCACTCCAACATTCAGTTCTGGAAAACTTAAGTTGGTAGGTATATATTAACTAGTCTTTCTAACTAGTATTCAACAGCTTCAAATCGCCGAAATGAAATCTTGGGTTAAATAAGCACAAAGACCATAAAGCAACGACTCTTGGGAGCATGAAATGACACGGTGTGAAATCCTCCAATATCAATAGAATAATAGGATGTAATAATAGGCAGATTGGAATCTGGAAGCGATCAAGTGAAAACATGTGGAACCACAAAGTCTGAAGGCACCAGTCCCATAGAAAAGTTTTGTCATAATAATGCGACTTTTTTTGTAGATGTTTCCGTCTATATTAGATTGTGGTCATATTCTATCCAGAAATATGGTTGCCAATAGTATAGAAGGAACACCAATAGACGTCAAAAAGTAAGATTTCTGTGGCCAGATAAAATTCATCGGAAATAAGTACGATGGAAAATATCCCGATCTGAAGTGTAGTGAGTAGTGGTTAGTAATTCGAATGCTCAGAGTTGACAAACACAAAGTGGCATCAGGTATTTCAGGTATGTCTTGCCCACAGAGCATACTAAAGACTTGTTTATTCTGCAAAAACACAAAACTAAAACTACTCAGTTGATTATTTTACAGTTGTTTTGGAGCCTACACAATGGACGTGATCGCTAGAACAGCGTTTGGTATAGATGTGGATTCGCAGACCAACCCGGACGAACCATTTGTACACATGGCCAGAAAATTATTTACTCCGCGCAAATGGTTTGGTATAGTGTACTTGATAATATGTGAGTACTGTCTCTTTATTCATAATTCCTTGAATTTTTATGATATTTAATAGGACAAAAGCAAAATGTGCACAATGAGGGACAATGAAGAAACGGGTTTTAGCCCACTATTTTTATATTTATCTATATTTATATAAACAGTATTATTTCAGCATCTATACCTTTGACCATCCCTTTATTCCGTTATCTTGATATTGGATTCTTCCCGTCTGAACCAACCAAGTTTTTTGTGCGATCCATCCAGGAAATGATCCGACAAAGGAAAGACAACAGCGATTCATTCTCCAAGGTAAATGCACACAGTTGGAATTTAAAACTTTAGACAACTTTATCTTGGTAACCATCAAAGAGGCAAATAAGACGATTATGTTTTGATTATAGAAAACTGTCATTGTGCCAAGCACAGTTTGTTTATTTCTTTTCTGACCAGGGGCGAACGTAGCAGCTCTAAGCCCTCGGATTGTGAGAAAACATCTTCTCAGGCAGATCAATGAGATTTTCTTGTCGGAATTGGGCTATTTCACTTTTGTGTTTGGTGATCCGAGCTCTCATTTCGACCCTGTTTCTGACAACATTTCTGTAATGGAAATATGAAGCCAAAATAACAAGCATTTTTTTTATGCCCGTCTGCCTCAAACATCGACAATTATGGCTGAGAAGATATTTTCTATTTCAGGGACGGGCAGATTTTCTACAGTTGTTAATCAGGGCCGAGGGTGACGAAAGCAATGGAGATTCAATGAAATCTACAGATCGCAAAACTGTCAAGAGTAAGTTATCTACATCACTTAAATATCCTGGATGCCGTGATACTGATTAAATCGGAATCGGAAACAATATAAACAAGCTGATTTTGGGCAACTATTGATAATTTTTCCCCATAAATGTTGACTAAGACACACATTTCAATGTTTTACATCGGCCAAATTGCTGCCATTAACTATCGTTGAAAATCTCAATTTCTGTAAGTCGAAAGGTCGATCTGATCATCGCTTTATGATTTGCAAAATCAGATGGTTAAATAGTACATAACATCCAGTGGTTTACAATATGACGTGAATTATCAATTTGATTATTGGTTTCAGAACTGTCATCAGAGGAAATTATTGGCCAAGCCTTTTTATTTTTTATTGCTGGGTACGAGACCACTGGAACAACACTTCAGTATGTTGCCTATATATTAGCCACCCATCCTGACGTACAAGACAGGGTCATTGAAGAGATTGAACACATTATCGGTGATGTGAGTATCTCCCATTTACAATACATCGTCTTGTCCCTTACCACATCATACTACATGTTTTAAGGGATTGTAGGATACATTAATAGTGAAATTGGTGCAAATAGAAACTGTAATTGTCTGCGATACGAACACAACGACTGAAAAAAGTGTTGATTACCTTTAACCGACAATTATTGCAGAGAGACCCTACCTATGAAGACATAAACAAACTGAGTTATATGGAGCTGATGATACAAGAGACGTTAAGGATGTACCCGCCAGTAGTCAGGTAAGGTAACGCCAGCTAGACCTTGGCAAAACTTGACCAAGCATTGTGACCTTTCCCGGACTCTCTGTACCTATTCAGAGCTTGGTAAACTAGGATACTGTATTATCGACTGCTCAACAGAGAACAGAATTGGGGGAAAGTGAGTTATAAAAGAGTGTAGAACAATGGCATTAAATATAGGATAACATGAAACAAATCATTTCTTTTGGGTTCATAATACCCACATCCCTTGTACAAGTTGGTACGGCAGTGAACAATACAATAAAACTATCTGTGCTAAAATCAAAAGTAGGCTAATGTTGCTGTTCCACTAGTCGCAAATTGCATGGCAGAGGAGCAGAAAGGAAGGGCGTAAAACTCCATTTTCTCTTGAGTACTTCAATTGTATGTTTCAGTATAGGACGCAAAGCGTCGGATGACGTGACAATCAAAGGTCTGAAAATACCAAAAGACACAGCTGTCCTGGTACCTATTTATAGCATACATCACGATCCGGAGATCTTTGAAAATCCTGACGAATTCATTCCAGAAAGGTTAGTAAGGGCCATCAATTTGAAGGTTAATGATACTGCCTTTTCCATGCGCTTGAAGGACATTTTGGTAATGTGTTTAACTTTAATGTCTTGTGACTATCTAAACAATTACACATTTTGTAGCTTGAATTCCAAATATGGAAGTCTACATATTCACATCTAAGTGTCGTTTCGTCAAATTTTGGTAACTGTACGTGTGTTTTTGTAATTCCAAAGGCTTCTAATATAGTCGATAGTTATGGAATTTGACCCAATATACCCGGAATTTTGAAAAACGATGACCGCAACTGTCTTTTAAATTTTGTACAAAATATAGTGCAGACAACCCCTCTGGTAAAAAAGATGTAGTTAAAATTTACCGCCACATAAATAGCTATTGAAAATTAAATGAACCACGGTTTCTTCTTTTCATTGAAGGTTTTGTCTCAAAGAGAAATTGATACATGTTTCCTTTCAGATTTGAAAATAAAAATGTAAACCCAATAAAGTTTTTACCATTTGGATGTGGTCCTAGAGTGTGTATCGGTTTGAGATTGGCAATGGTAGAGGCAAAGGTGGCGCTCGTAACAGTTCTTCAAAAAGTGAAATTTGTAAGACACGAACAAACAGTGGTGAGTAGTCCTGATTTGTCTAAATATTTACTTTTCCATCTGAAAATGCTTCATTTTACCTGCTTGGTCACCTATCGAATCGGAATTCGATTCTGACATCTTGTTAACCTACAATTGGTTAAAAACGTAGAATTCTAAATTGACAGGGTTTATTCATATGATCCAATGAAAACATGGCCAAAAAATGGGTTTTATTTTTATTTCCCATATCAGTGTTTTTAAATGAGCACCCCCACCCCCAAATTGTATAAAAGTGCATTCTGAGTGCTTTCAAGTAGTAAACGGTGCAATTAATTCCCGATGTGCCTTAGATTTTCGATGTTTCTAAGGGAAGATTTGAAAAGAGAAAACACCTTTTTTTATTTTGTATTTTCAGAACAAAGTGGAATTTGAAGACTTGGGACTGTTGGTGCCAAAAAACAAACTGATAGTAGGAGTAGAACTAAGACAGAAAACATAATACCGAAATACGGATAATAAGTGTATTTATTTGACAATTGTGATAAACTCAACACGCTCCGTGCCCGAATAAGTATAAGCGGGTAGGAAAGATTACAAACCATCAAATCAGGTTAAAGGGGACTCGATTGAGGAAACTTAACTGCAAAAGCATAATTTTTGTACTAAGGCAGAAAGAAACAACATTTTTATACAAGGAAACAGCAATGATTCTTGTCGGTTGTGTCTACCAGCCGACTTATCATTACTTATTAACAGATAGATCGACCGCCTGCTTATGAGGTAGATTATTGGACTCGTTTGGTTAATACCTTACACTCGATTTGTGAAATGTTTATGGTTTGTCTATGCTTTCTTGTTTTGACCGCGATATTCTTCAGTAAAAATTGTCTTTATAACTCTTTTTATCTGTACTTACTGGGGTAAAAGGTTTAGCTTCATTGCACAAATCAGTTAAATATATAAAATTATAACTTAATTCATCGTTCAAGTTTATCGCTTTACTCAAATGAGTGGTCATTTTACAAGATGTAACTCTCCAAGAAACCTGCAGCCTGCATGACAGGGTAAAACTGGTATCTAGCCTAATGATGGGATTCTATATTTCCTAACCTAATTCCTAACCTATGGCACAAATTTGATTTCGGAGAAGGGAGGGTTTGATTCTCCCAAATGTACAGGCCTAAGGTGGAGCAGACACTTTATTTAGAAATTGTGATTAAGGGTCTTGATATTGGTTTTTCTTCTATTCTGTTTCTGATCTGAAGTATAAGTAGTATATGAGCTTTATGTTATCCCGATTATATATCCTCAGATATACCGATTATTTATCCTCAGATATACCGATTATTTATCCTCAGATATACCGATTATATATCCTCATTCCGAGGAAAACTTCTTATTCAAATTATTTTCCTATGAAGGTAAAAGTTGATTCAATATTCTTCAGACAAAACTCACGATATTCATCTAATCAATTTAACGCTCGTAAAGTTTTTCAGTTTATCAATGGTACAAAAAATGTAGAAACTAAAAAGAATTTGAAATTAACGACGAAAACAACAAGGCTAATCATTTATATGAAATTAAAACGAGTGGAAAATATATAGATAGGTTTAGAATGTTAATCATACCAGATAAAGAAGATAATCTTTCATTGGGTGAATTTAATATGATATTGGAAACTGAACTGAAGCATTATTAGAAATCCTGAACCACAAAAAGAACAAAGAAAGATTTATGAGTTTTTACGAGCGGCAGACTTTGAATAAGTTAAACTATATTTTGTTAATGATTCTAATTTCACCTCTGTTGACATTCATAAAAGCCAAATACCACAAAAATTTTCAATACCACTAATAAGAGATGATAATATATATTTGTGTTATGTTGATATATTCTTCAGAATTTATAAACCAAAATTTTCAATCCATTTGAACAAGATAAAGGAATCAAAACAAGAAATATCCCTTGTGAGTGTAATGTCACGATTACACAAAGTTTTAGGGGAGAAAAACAAGCTTTATCAGAAATTCATTTAATTTAATTACCTTAAAAATGGAAAGCAGTAGACAACAATACATAATAGAAAAACAAAATGAACTAAAAGAAAAACTAAAACACTTCAACAAATGCAGGAAAACATGGAGTAGAATTGATTATGTTTTCAAAACATTAAACACAGTTGTAACAGTAGGGATAACAGTGGCAACAGCCGTAACCGGTGGATTGATGCTTCCAATAATTGTTCCAACTGTATTAGCAGCCTTCACTGCTGTTCAAACTTCATCTTGTGGATTGATTATATTAGGTTATACATCAAAACAGAAATCTGATTATAAAAAGAAAACCGAAATTTTAGATACATATCTTAATAAATTATTTATATTTTTTGAAAGATCAAGAGAAGATAAGAACATAACCATTGAAGAATTAGAAGAATTTAATGAAATTTTAGATAAATTTGATGTAGAAATATCATCTGTAAAAGTTAAAAATTCCTAGTTAAAAATAGATTCTTAAAAAAGAAAATGGAAACATTTAAAGGACAAATTGAATTAGATGGAGAGATAATTCTTTTTACGAAATATCCTTTTACGTAAAGACAATTTCAAAGAAATAAAAAGATCTAAAACTGGCAGAGGAACTGAACTACTTAAAAAGATAAATGAATATATAGGAGAAAATTGTTTTATACCAACAGATGGTAAGTGTTTTATAAAATGTGTAAATCACATTATGAATAAAAACTTAACAAAAGAATTTCAAGATTTCATCAACAGTTTTCAAAAAGCTAATAGAAAAGGAGTAATGACAGTTGGAAGAATTAAGCTATTCAATGACCAATTTGATACAAATTTTCAAATCTATAACCCTAAAGACAGTCATTTTCATCCAAGATATGTATCCGAGGAATTAGATTGGGTTTTATATTTACATAACTCACATTTCTGTTTGATAAGAAGAAATAACAAAGCTTTAGGTATTAAAGAAATAGAAGAAAATTATGAACAGGTATGGAAAACATGTAGAGATGATAATACCATAACACAAGTTTCACCTTTAAAATTAAATGTTTTTCCAACAATTCATGATGATTGTTTATTCGCTTGGGATTGTGAAACATATTGTGAAGAGGGGGTTAATAAAGCTATTCCTTATTGTTCTACTTTAGTCAATTTGGAAAAACTAAGAAAAACCTTAGATGATTATAATAATTATTTAAATGATTTTTATGATTTTAATGAGACTCTAGATTTTAAGCCGCCAGATCCCATTCCAGAAGAATTTTACAATAGATTAATGAATATAGTAAAAATGTTTGTAGGAACAGATTGTATAGATCAAAAGTTAAAACATTTAGGTCAATATGATAGAAAGAGATTAACATTAATTTCTCATAACGGTAGTGGTTTTGACAATTGGATAATCCTTAAAAACGTAAAAAAAACTAACACAATGTCCACTAGTATCAGCTAAACGCATTCTATCTCTACCTTTAACTAATACTTTCACCGATGAAGATTTACAAAAAAGTTGGAAAAGACAAAAAATAACTGGCAACTCTAATTATCTACAAAATATTAATTTTATATGTTCCTACCAGCATGAAAAATCTAGTTTGGCGGCATGGAGGAATTCATCTAATCTACCAATGAATTTGAGAAAGATCACTGATATCGACATTACTAAATACACAGAGGACAACTGGGAACCTTTAAGACATGAATAGGAACCTTATGCTAAAAGAGATACGTTATGTCCTGGACCTTGTTTGATAAAATACAGCAAGGTTATGAAAAATACTGTATTCCAGAATGTTTCTAATAATCCAACAGCTCCTTCTTTATCTTTAAAGGGTTGGTATTATTTGTATCATTACAATAAAGAAATGGTTGAAGAACCATATTATTAAAGGACAATTCTCGTTCTAAAACACACTGAAAAAGAAAACATTGAAAAGGTTTATTCACACACTCATCCTTTTATAAGATTTTTTTATTAGGCAAAGTATTAAAGGAGGAAGAGTTTCGGCTAATAGGAAATCATTTGAAACAGACAAAATGGATGAGATTTGTAATCTATTAAAGGAATACACAGAATTCGACAGTAGTAATATAATTGATTTATTCAAAGAATACAACACATGTGCAAAAGATAAGACAGAAGTTCACACTAAACTCAAAGAGCTGGACTATTCTAAAGTAATGGCCTTTGATGCTAATGGGTTGTACGCCTCTGCTATGTCAGATTTAGAGAGTGAATATCCTAAAGGGGAAAGTGAAAGACCGTTTCTACCAGAAGAAAATGAAGAATTTGTCAAGCTCTTTAATGGACAGAAATTCAGACCTAGAACGGCTATTTTAAAAAGTCTGGTTTAATATTCTACCAACATGTTCTTCCAACCCATTCCAACTAAAGATAAAATTACTTTTACGAACAGAAAAGGTAAAAAGGATGTTGTTTTATGATGTTTTAACATCGTTTAATATTCAAGAAATAGTTAAAGCTGGTGGTAAAATACTCAAGATATTGGATGGTATAGTGTATGAAGAAAATTTTAAAACTCCTCCATAGAGAATACATTTTAATTTTGAAGGAATTAAGGAATAAATACAAAAAGGAAGGGGATGAGGTTGGTAGTAACTGCATGAAATTATTAGGTAATTCATTGTATAGTAAATCTATTCAGAAGGATATAACTACATCGAGACATCTATGGAGTGAAACAACTTTTAAAGCCAACTTCGATTCACATGTTAAAAACTATGAAAAAGTAAATGAGACTCAATATATATTTGAGATAGAAGAAGAAGAAAAAGAATTTATTCCTCCAAAGGATTCAACAAGATTAACACCAAGTCATATAGGATCGTTCGTTTTATCTCAGTAAAAAAATAATGAATAATTTTATTCACGTAATAGATGGATTTTATAAGCCGGAAATATACTATACAGATACTGATAGTTTATACATTTCTTCTAACAAATGAGATAAATTAAATAAAGCTGGGTTGTTCAGAAACTAATTATTGTAAAGGAAAGAATGATTACGGTGATGGTGGAATTATATATGGTTTATATTATATATATAATATCATTTTAACTTCTGATGGTGTTTTGAAGGAAAAAAACATTTAAGGGATACTCTAACTATAAGATTAAGGTGGATGATTATATTCAATTAGCTAGTAGACATGATGTGATGAATGAATTTAAGAAACCATGGGGAAAGAGTTTCTCTGATGGAATAGTTATTCCAAATGATGAAGATAAACAAAAGAAAGTTTTTAGAAGTTATTTAAATCTCGTTAAGAGAAAAGCACCAGATGATGAAGGAATTATGTATCCTTACAACGACGGAAAAGAATTGAACATGGATGAAAACTACGAATTTGATGATTTCGATTATCTAACTATTCAAGAAGAGAATGAAGAGTGTTTAATTACAGAATGAATTTAGTTCTTTTGTTTTAAATGAAGTTGAATTACAATTTTCTCATTACCAAAATCTATAAACCTATTTTTGATTTCCAGATTTATATCTTTAATCATAAAGGAATTAAGTGGTAAATATGTTGTTTGAAAAGCCTAGTAAAGCATTTAAAGAATTTTCTACATTGAAATCAACTTGACTATTTATTTCTCAATATCAATTTTGTTTTGTTCAGATTCAAATTACCTTCGAATTCAATAGTGTTTCTACCATTTAGACTTCCTCCATATTCAGAAAGGTAATCGTTAATGGCTACCTATTCGTAGCTTCCTGGTAGTAAACTTATGGTTTTGAAGTTGTATAAACTCCATTATCTGTTGATATTTTTATTTTGTTATTTTTTCGTTGATATTTCTAATGGAATTGTAAACAGAGAAATACTTTAATCCCAATTCATATTCTTGATTGCGATCGAGTTCATACTCATAATCTAGTGACAATTTAATGTCTGATTTATTTGAGGTGATAACGAATAGTTGTTCTTTATTTGATATTTTTAATGACGCTTTTATAATCATTTTTATCTATGATACCTTTCTCTATGAGTCTTTTTAATATACAATTTACTTCATTATATTGTCTGTGTGATTGACGACCTGGCTTCATTGCCTCTAATATTATTTGTAATCTATTAAGTAGTTCCTCGTTGTTGTCGGATAAAAACGTTATACCTTGTCCAGATACCATATCTTCGAATTCGTCTATTTCTTGTGTAATTGAACTGTCTTCAGTATAATCATCTGATACCTCATCTTCATATTCATCATCTGCTTCATCAACTTCACATTCATCAGGAATAACTTTTTTATATATGTTTCAACTGCTTTCGATCTTTTTGTTTCGGGTCCCGACTTCCTTATTGCTTGTAGAAATTTTGAGTATGCTAGTAAATCCCTGTAATCGGCAAGGCCAATATACCCGCCATTCATTAAATCTATTAACCCTTTTGTTAATGTAAATATTAAGTCTTTTGTATCGATTTTGAATATAGGGGAATTTGACTTGAATTTGATTCTAGATCTATTAAACAATAAGCCCTCATCATCAATGATAGGTGTAATACTCTTTGGTAAATCTGCTTTAGGGTTTGAAAAAAGACTATTAATATCATCTAATGTCTTAATTATAATACCTACATATTGATTCGGTTCTGGGTGATCTTTATAAGGTTCTATATGTCTATATTCTAAAGCTAATTTCTTTTTAATATCCTCTTGAGTTTTTAATATTGGTTGAAATAAAGTTTGTAGTTTTTCTGTTAATCCAAGTTGTTGTTATTTATTATTTTCAACTTGGGTCTTTATTTTATTCTTAGCTTTGATATATTCTTTATTTCTTTTTAAAATATTATTCCAATCGCTACTCATTTTTAAAAAAATAAAATTAACATATGTCGATCATAACTCTTTCACCCGCAGGTTTTCTAGTATTAAAAAATACATATCCATGATCATCTGGGTTTCTCCATTGAGCTGTACAAACTTTTTTGAATGTATCTCTGTCCATTCCGTGATTTATCGACTGAATGTTTTGAGATAAATCTTCGTCGTTTAATTCAAATAATAAAAAAACAATTTGCATGTTTTCTAATGAACATAGAATTCATCCCATATAAAGATTGGGATTGGTATATGCAGTGACAGTTGTGATGTCTTCCTTTCGCTACGCAGTCGTCAAACAATATTAAGTTCTTTCGATTGCTATCAATATTAGACAAGTCTAGATCATTAACATTTTTCGTAAGAAAAACTTTAATGTCCGTTGGATAGAAAGATGGATTCTTTGCTTTAATGTAGTTATCTATGATATCTTTTATTTCCACTTCTTCTTCTTCGTTTTCTTCATACAATTGAAATATGTCTTGAACATCTTTCTTTGGTAAATATTCTAAAGCTTTGAGGAATTGATAATATGATTGCTCTGGTGTTGTTGTGTAGATATAGAGAGAATTGAAATCTAAAAGGTTTGGTGTTGTCAACATGTTAAAAGTGAGATGAGTTTTCCCAGAACCGGAACTTCCACAAATACACAAAAGCATTGGGTTACTAGGAAATATTTCTGAATGTTTGAATTTCTTCCCCATTTTTTATTCTATATTTCTGTTCCAAAAATCACTCCTTCTCCTTTATACTTTGAAAGAAATAATTCTTCTCCTGTGTGAATGTTTTTAAAAAATAATCTATTACCCTTATGTTTGACTTTCATTTTTCCTGTCTCCATTTTGTCTATGATACTGTTTAATCCTTATTTAAGGATTTCTTGGTTTCTTCCCCAAATCGTTTTCCAAATTCTTTAACTGTACATAATATATCTGCCACTCCTGAACTAATTTTTTTGCTTCCTTTTCCATTATTAAATTATGTCTATGTTCTTCGGCAGCTTTTACTGCAGCGGCTTTATCTTCATTGGCAGCTTTTACTCAAGCAGCAGTACCACCAGTAACAGCACCAGCAGCGGTAAGACCAGCAAATATCAAAGGTAGGAAAGGTCATTTATTTTGAAAATTTACCAAGCTACTAAATAGACCCCAGGGAGTCGGAAAAACACTTAAAACCGAATTAAAAACAATTAGAAGAAAAAAATAGATTTTTTTTTTAGTTACAAGGGATGACTGCACGAAATTTGCTTATACTGAAATAAATCATATTTTGAAAACTTACCAAGCTACAAAGCTGACATTTTGCACACATATGCACTTGGGCCCCCTACACATTTAGAAAAAAAAACAGAACAGAGAAATCTCCCATAGGTAAAAAGTTAGCCCAGGAAAAGTTGCCTATATTCGGCTCTTATAGGCCATATAGACGGAAAACGTCCAATAGCTAACTTTGCCAAATAATTGGCCCATGTTTTGGATTTTTCCTACTAATTAAAATCCAGGGAGTCGGAAAACACATAAAACCCAATTAAAAACAATTAGAGAAAAAAATAGATTTTTTTTAGTTACAAGGGACTACTGCACCAAATGTGCTTATACACAAATAAATTTTTATTTTGAAAACTTACCAAGCTACAAAGCTGATATTTGGCACACATATGCACCTGGGCCCCCTACGCATGTGGAAAAAAACAGAACAGAGAAATCTCCCATAGGGAAAAAGTTAGCCCCGGAAAAGTTGCCGATATTCGGCTCTTATAGGCCATATGGACGGAAAACGTACAATAGCTAACTTTGCCAAATAAACCGATTTGGCCCATGTTTTGGGTTTTTCCTACTAATTCGACCCCAGGGAGTCGGAAAAACACATAAAACCCAATTAAAAACAATTAGAGAAAAAAATAGATTTTTCTTAGTTACAAGGGACTACTGCACCAAATGTGCTTATACACAAATAAATTTTTATTTTGAAAACTTACCAAGCTACAAAGCTGAAATTTGGCACACATATGCACCTGGGCCCCCTACGCATGTGGAAAAAAACAGAACAGAGAAATCTCCCATAGGGAAAAAGTTAGTCCCGGAAAAGTTGCCGATATTCGGCTCTTATAGGCCATATGGACGGAAAACGTACAATAGCTAACTTGGCCAAATAAACCGATTTGGCCCATGTTTTGGGTTTTTCCTACTAATTCGACCCCAGGGAGTCGGAAAAACACATAAAACCCAATTAAAAACAATTAGAGAAAAAAATAGATTTTTCTTAGTTACAAGGGACTACTGCACCAAATGTGCTTATACACAAATAAATTTTTATTTTGAAAACTTACCAAGCTACAAAGCTGAAATTTGGCACACATATGCACCTGGGCCCCCTACGCATGTGGAAAAAAACAGAACAGAGAAATCTCCCATAGGGAAAAAGTTAGCCCCGGAAAAGTTGCCGATATTCGGCTCTTATAGGCCATATGGACGGAAAACGTACAATAGCTAACTTGGCCAAATAAACCGATTTGGCCCATGTTTTGGGTTTTTCCTACTAATTCGACCCCAGGGAGTCGGAAAAACACATAAAACCCAATTAAAAACAATTAGAGAAAAAAATAGATTTTTCTTAGTTACAAGGGACTACTGCACCAAATGTGCTTATACACAAATAAATTTTTATTTTGAAAACTTACCAAGCTACAAAGCTGAAATTTGGCACACATATGCACCTGGGCCCCCTACGCATGTGGAAAAAAACAGAACAGAGAAATCTCCCATAGGGAAAAAGTTAGCCCCGGAAAAGTTGCCGATATTCGGCTCTTATAGGCCATATGGACGGAAAACGTACAATAGCTAACTTGGCCAAATAAACCGATTTGGCCCATGTTTTGGGTTTTTCCTACTAATTCGACCCCAGGGAGTCGGAAAAACACATAAAACCCAATTAAAAACAATTAGAGAAAAAAATAGATTTTTCTTAGTTACAAGGGACTACTGCACCAAATGTGCTTATACACAAATAAATTTTTATTTTGAAAACTTACCAAGCTACAAAGCTGAAATTTGGCACACATATGCACCTGGGCCCCCTACGCATGTGGAAAAAAACAGAACAGAGAATCTCCCATAGGGAAAAGTTAGCCCCGGAAAAGTTGCCGATATTCGGCTCTTATAGGCCATATGGA